AATGCAGGATTGCAGAGCCGTCGCGAAAGGATGAGGAAAAGCCGACAATCCTCATCAATGAGTAGTGGAACCCTCCTGGGGGCGGATGAACTGAATCTGTCTCCCGGCAAGACCACAATGGGTATTATGAAAGGTCTGGATCGGGGGGTTGGGTTGCTTGTTCCTTGCTGGTGACACCTGGGTCCACTCGATCCTTTCACGTCATGGATCCTGGGTGGAAACGCTATTGATATTGAGCATACATGATTTGCTGGAGTCGAAGAGAAGCTCGCTTCGATTCCACCCGCCCCGTCAATGCCGGGTTTCATGCCCAGATTCAAGGAGAACAATTGGCCACGGCGTCCCGATTCTCCACTGGACGTTTGCCATCTCCGAGGGTGGGCCTTGCTTCCTGTCACTGACATGTGCATCCCAAACGTGCGGATAGTTTGCACAAAGCTAAGGAGTGCTGCTTTTCATCGTACTGAATGAATGAAGTAATCATGCCTGTTCTGCTGATGAAGAAAAACGATCATAGTGAAGCTACTCGCTTAAAACTGAACGCTTCGATCCTGCGCATTGCAGAAAAAAAATCAGATAGCGGCCGGGGAATGCCGTTAGCGCAGCGTTAGCAGCAACACTAAGCAGCACCGGTGCGTCGTATGCTTCCCTCATTGCAAGTCACCCCCGAGAAGGGTTTACGCGGAAAATACAAATAGCAAGCCAAGGATTGACACCATGTATGTCTCGAATTTGGGGAGATGCTTGGTCACCCACCGGGACCCAACATGTCCGTCCTTTTTGCACCCGTCTGGATCCCTGGGAGTCTGGCATCCCTGCCAGTCTCGGTGCCTTTCCTGCTGCTTATCCTTATTACGGTAATCGCCTTGAAAAGGCGCTATGCAACTTCTATCCGCGATATTCCTGGTCCTTGGCTGGCCTCAATTTCGAGCCTCTGGCAGGTGTACCAGTTGATCAAGGGCCACACGGAACAGGAGATCGTGAAACTTCATCGCCGACATGGTCCGTGCATCTCCACCGGTTCGCCATTACACAATTCATTTACTAATACGTGGAACAGGCAGTTTTGTCCGCATCGCCGACAACGAGGTCAGCGTCGCCCATCCTGATGCGGTGCGCTTGTTGCTTCATGCCAACATCGCCAAAGTATGTTCACGGAGTAACTTGTCCCCGTATTCAAGTCACCACGCTAAAAGCATTAGGGATCGTGGTACTCGATATTCAGCCTGCCAGATTATCATTATGTGAACCAAATGTCAGAACTGGATCCCCAGCGCCACATTCGCAAGTCCCGCAATGTAGCGTCGGGGTATGCCCTGTCAAACATTATTAAGTCCGAGCCTTACGTGGATGCTCTTCTGGGACTTCTCGAGAATCAATTCGATAAACTGATTGCATCCGGGCAACCAGTGGAGTTTGATCGCTGGTTCAATTACTTCGCCTTTGACGTGGTCGGCGAAGTGACTTTTTCCAGTCCTTTCCGGTTCCTCGAGACGGGCACCGATATCCGCAATGCCATCGCCAATACTCGCGCCCTTGCGTTGTACATCGCCATCATGGGGCACTACGTGTGGCTACATAATCTCACCTTGGGAAATCCATTGCTCAGTAGAATTGGTCTGCAGCCCTCATCGCATATCTTCGACACCTGCCTGGCCGCCATCGATAGTCGGAAGAAGAACCCCGCCGTCAGACTGGACATGATGGAGCGCTGGTTGCATGTGCGCCGCACGTATCCCGACCGCATGGACGAGGCGGAGGTCTTTGGAGCTGCTGTCGCCAATATTGGCGCCGGCGCTGATACTACCAGTGCCACGCTGCAGGCATTCTTCTACTACATGCTCCGCCATCCGCACTACCTGCAGAAGCTGCGTCAGGAAGTGGATGAAGCACACGCTCGGGGTGATCTGTCGCATGTGGTATCCTATGCTGAGGCAGCAAAGCTGCCCTACCTACAGGCCTGCGTATGTGACCCTTCTTCGATCGCGATGGCCATACTAATGAGTGTAGATCAAGGAAACCTATCGCTATCACCCGGCTACCGGCACTGGGCTGCCTCGTGTCGTTCCGGCGGGTGGTCTCACCATTGGCGGACGGCACTTTACAGAAGGAGTATGCCATCATCCTCCTTTGATGGAAACGTGTGCTGACACTGTTGCAACAGACACTTCTCAGCATCAACCCCTGGGCTTTCCATCGGAACCCAGAGCTGTTCGGACCTGACTGTGATGACTTTAACCCGGAAAGGTGGCTTGACCCTGAAAGAGCCAGACAGATGGACCCGTTCCTCATCCACGTAAGTTTGTTGCCTTCAGATGGAGAGGACACATTGCAGTATACTGACTAGCAGACACAGTGGGGAGCTGGATACAACCAATGTCCCGGTCGGAACCTGGCCCACTTCGAGATCTCCAAGGTCTCTGCCACTATCATCCGAGACTTTGACATCGAGCAGGTTGATCCAAAGAAATCGTGGAGCTTTGAGACCCATTTCACGGCTGTGCCGTATGGCTGGCCTTGTTGGCTGCGTCGGCGGCAGACTACGGCGTAGCGACGGATGACCCCCAAAAGTCGTATTGCTAATGCTTATGACGGAAAGAGGATGAGAACACCGAGCATGTTCGTAGAGATTTCCTAGTAGACGGTACATGATAATATAGAACTTCATTCGACACCGAAATCCCCTTGGCAGCGATCCCCTCATTGCATGCCACTTCCCGTATTTCTCCACCAATCACCTACAACTCATTCAGAACACATAAAATAGCCCGCATGTCAGCACTACCCCACGATCTCTACTCCCACCCCCATATTGACTATGTACATCAATCCCATCCTACCGGGATTCAATCCCGATCCCTCCATAATCCGCGTTGGGAAGGACTTCTTCCTCGTTACATCCTCCTTCGAATATTTCCCCGGCGCTCCCATCTACCACAGCACCGACCTAATCCAATGGACTCTGATCGGCCATGCCCTCACCCGCCCAAGTCAACTTCGGATCCAGACCCCCGAGCCAGGAGGTGGCGTATGGGCAACGACATTGCGGTATCACAACGGGGTGTTCTACATCCTCGCTGCGTGCTTCCAGCGTTATCGGCCTCAGGAAGATGACCGGGTCTGGCCGCGGGGATTCTACGTGAAGACCACAGATATTTGGGACTCGGAGTCGTGGTCGGACCCGGTATATTTTGACCAGGTTGGCTTTGACCAGGATGTTTGTCTTCCCCACCCCCCCTCCCAATTAATCACAACTAACTCGTGGTGCAGCTCTTCTGGGACGACGACGGCACCGTCTACCTCTCAAGCACATATCGCAAGCTTGAAAGAACCCCCGGTGCAAATATTAAAGACTTTGCCGTCCACATTGTCACTGTGGACTTAGAGACGGGTGCCTCCACTTCAGAGCCCAAGCTAATCAGGGAGTCATCCTCAGGCGTCGCGGAGGGACCACACATTTTCAAACGCGGCAAATACTATTATCTTTTCACTGCGGAGGGCGGCACTGAGAGCGGCCATTGCGAATGGGTCAGTCGCAGTACTACCGGTCCGTTTGGGCCGTGGGAGGTTGGGCCGAATAATCCTCTCTGGCGAAATGGAGTGGACGATGACGTTCAGAATACTGGACATGTGGATCTAGTGGAAGATGTGCAGGGGCAGTGGTGGGCTGTTTTGTTGGGAGTACGTCCGGTTTGGAAGGATGGGCAGTGGGAGGAATCTGTTTTTGGTGAGTACTCCTCCAGTGCTATGTTGCGCACAGGATGCTAATGTTAATTACAGGCCGCGAAACCTTCCTAGCTCCAGTGGATTGGGAGGACGACTGGCCCATTGTCAACGGCGGCCAGAAAATCCCCCTTCACTCCGAAAGTCCCCACCTCTATGAGCTCTCAGTACCAGTCGCATGGCGTGATGATTTTTCAGAAAGCGAGCTCCAGCTTGGATGGTACCGCAAAAATACCCCGGTCGTGCGTGACTACTCCCTCACAGAGCGGCCAGGCTTCCTTCGCCTCTACGGCGGTCCATATAATTTGTCAATTCCAGCGTGTCCCACACTTTTCCTTCGCAAGCAGACTCATCGGTTCTGCACATGGGAGACACGACTGTCCTTTTGCCCGAGGAACCAGGTATGCGAAGCTGGTGCAGTAGTATGGTGGACATATTTCACCTACAGCAGCATCGGAATTCGCGTGGGGAAAGACGGCCAACGTATTGTTCGGCTACGTTCTCCAGGAGGCGAGGTAGTCGACTTCGGTCTACGTCATTCCCAGTTGGATGTTCGCTTGGTGATTGAGTGCGGAGATAGCTACCGGCTTGGATTCCAGGAACTCAGCGACGTTGAGTCGGATGATGCTTTGATTCAGTGGATAGGAGAAGTGGACAATAGCAGTATGACGGCAGCACCACCCGTAGGGGTGGCTTTTACGGGCATGATGCTGGGGTTGTACGCGTTTGGAGAGCGGCAGCGCTGTCTAGATCCAGCAGACTTTCATTACGCACAGTGGAAATAGGATGGTACCTTCACGAGGATTCCCCAGAAATCTAGAAGGATCCTCATGTATGCGACGAAGCTTCCGCTGGAATTGGTGCTTATCATGATGGAGTTCGCAGACTACACACCACGGCAAACCCTGGAAGTCCCGCATGATCCTCTCCATCCTACTAACCGCAAGGCGCTGGGTCAATACCTGGAACACTGTTGGCAAATTATTGTCCGATGTGATATGATGATGAGGGAGCTTCGCATGAGCCACTGGTAGTGGGATTCTGAAGTTGACGATCACCGTTCGGCACGCTTACGCCTACGAGTATCTAGTCGTCCTTTCGTAAACGTTCACGTCATATCTGCATCCATATCTGCATCCATCTCGGCTTTCCTCTTAGAAGGCAATTTGGATGACTTTGCGATAAAGTGTGATATGATTCCATGTTGATATACATACGTGCCCTCTATGAGACTTGAGCGCTATCAAATGCGAGTATGACATGATTCTAGGCTGGGTTTAGAGGACAGCTGCAACAAAAGCAGCAGCAAATCCTCCGAAGAGGAACGCTGCGTCACCCTTGAGCAGGGAGGCCTTGCCAGTGCCTGTAGCAGAAGCATCGACATTCGAGGCAGTCGCAGTCTTGGAAGAGGTGACAGAGCCAGAGATGGCAGCACTAGTAGAGGCGGCAGATGCCTGCGACTGTTTCCCCGTAGCAGTAGCAGCGGAACCCGTGCTACTTGCTGTCTGAGCCTCAGTTGTAGCGTGGGCGGCGGAGGCAGCCACGCTCGTGACAGAGCCCGCCGTGATAGTCACAGGCATTAAATCCAGATCACCATCCAGGGTGGTGCTGCTGGTTCCTGGGAAGTTGGCGCCGGATCCCGAGGCTGTTTCGGTACAGACGGCGTGCGTCGTTCCATCGACAGAGCAAACGCATGTGTAGTAGCTGTGCAGCAAACCATGTCAGTCACGACCAATGTACAGGGTGTAGACAACCATCAACATACAAATCTTCGTCCGGAGCGTCCAGGATCATGGTGGTTTTGGGTCCGGCGATCAGGGTAAGACCGGGACCCATGCCACAATCACTGGAATCGGTGCCGGGTGGGCAGTTGATACTGTAGGTTGTCGCGGTCGCATCCTGCATCACGGTTAGTTGAGGAGAATATACCAGGCTGATAAAGACAAGGACAACTTGCGTTACCTATGATGGACGCGGCCAAAGGCTGTGGATCGGTGTCGTAGATGAACATGGAGGTGACAGTGGCCTTTGCTGAGACCAGGCCGGCAGCAGCCAGACCGAGAAGGAGCGTACGGTTCATCATGTTTGGAACGAATGACTGATTGCTGTGAGGGTGGATGAACGAGTGTGTGGATAGGAAGATGCGGGATAACGAGCGATGCAACAACGAAATAATTTAAAGGAAAGAAGAAAGAAAGAAAGGAGAGACTGCAAAAGAGGCGTGATGATGGCAGCCACCTTCTCCGCCATCCAATCCTGCTCGTGATGCTGACTCGGGACTCTTTGAAGATTACCAAAAGAGGCAACACTGCGACCGGATCTAAACTGCTTCAAGGCAAGTCCGGGCAAACCACAAGGCGGCTAGGCTCCATCGGGCAAGGTCAGAAGCCAATTCAGGGTCCAGACCCTGATTTGGGCTCCCACTAGTCCCTGGTGGTGCTTGGCAAGGGTATAACCATAACCGGGATACTGCCATATGCCTACCCATATTTTGCAGTAATAAATGCACATAGTTGGTCTCCGTTCCTCTTCTTGCGAGAACAGCAGTCCAAATTGCCTGTCCATATTGTCCTTTCCAATAATGAAGGCCATCTGTCTCAAGTTCAACGGATCTATCTTCAAGGTGCAACATGAGAAGTATATATTTCATCGAATCATCAATTGGATTCTGGAACGACCTTGGTATGTCATGGTATACATCTAGTATAATACTATTTACTTCTTAATTATGGAAATAAAGCCCTCACACTTGGATTTACAATCTACTGGAGCAATCGCGTCTGATTGTCGAGTGCACTTTATCTCCTTACACCTCCCCTTGTTCCTAACATGCGACGTTGCGCAGCTTAACGTTGCTCTATATGTAGGGATTACACTACTACAGCACTGAGGGCTATTCATCCTTATCACCCGAAAGACTTTCAACTCCAACCCAAGATCAATGGTTGCTAATATGGGGCAGCAAGTCTTTCCCATCACTGTCTGCCTTTTGCATACCTATTCTCAGAGACTTCACTTCCAAACCGGGATAGTGATCATGCGCGTCCAGGTAACCCAAGCACTTCACGTAGCAGGTCCGCCTGTCCCTTTTGGGTCAGTTGTTGTGCAAATCTTGCGTAATGATCTTCAGCCACGCAGCATATCTCCCTGTTTCTGACCGGCGTGTAAGGCCAAGGACATTTATGCCTGGCTAGAACATAGAGAACGTCTTCACTTGTGATCTCTGGCACAATACCCACGCATTGATTTCGTGTCAAATGCTCTCGGTAGGCGAACACGTACCTGTTTGAGAGTCCGGGGATCGACAATTATAAGAGCAACAAACTAACCAATATCTGTATTGCTGTTATTGCGCAAGATGCGTCCCCTTGTCCAGTAAGGGAAATCAAAGGGAATTCGGTCCGTCAACACAACGTGGTCGAGGTGTCGGGAAGGGACGCGAGGAACAGCAACCTCGTGCCAAACCACCAGTGGTGATCGTTGTGTAAAGATTCCAGACGTCTGCATATGCTGGTATCTTCATATGCTGATAGACGTCTGGTTCGTGGGCCGGTTTAGCAACAAAGTATTATCAGGGCGTTGGAAGTCTTACCCAGTCATTTATCATACTTTCCGGGGGGCGAGGGAAGTATGGCCCAGGCATCGGGCACGAACCGTTTGACTCCCGTCTTTGACTGTAATTCTGAGCTGCTGAGAAGAATCTGGCTGGTAGACGATGGAAATATGAGTATCCTCTACAGCCTCGGCCAGACTATTCTCCGAACTGGCGAGATCCACATCTATAGCCCGAACCACCCCCCCACCCTTTTCCCCTCCGGGGTTGCGAACGTCAACCACGTCTGTGTTATACATTGACTGTGAGCGCATGCTCTTCACGAGGCCAGTGTGTAAATCGATGGGGTATTCGAAAAGTACTAATGACAAAAAAAATCTTGTTGAAAAAATGAATTCATTGTAGAAGAAACATGTTAATGAACTCTAGGACGAGTACCTTCTGTGCTACTCTCTGTGACACCGACACAGAAGGGACCAGTATTTTATATTTTAGCCACCAGAAGCAAGCAAGTGATGCCTGACAGATGTACCGACGGAACATTCCCAACGGGTGGGACCGAGGGTGGGATTGCCGCCGAATGTTTCGACTTTCGATATTTAAGGTGGATTCAGTATAGGCCCCATCGCTGATCTCCCAAACGGGTCTGCCGGTGGTCTGTTGTGCTGGTAGTTCATGGCCCAATTACATTACAACACGGTGTGCTTAGCAAGCGTTTGCTGAACCATAGCCCCTGACTCTGATGCAATCAACGTGGAGCACCCCAATCTGCCACGTATACGAATCGATGATCTTACCTTAAATTATGTCCGCTTCTCCGCGTGGCACCCCTTCGGAGATAAAAGAAAAGACACGGCCAGGCCATGGTTACTGCTATCTCCGAAGTCGAGCTCGGAAAACGGCAGAGACGGCAGTTGGGACTGAAGTACAATTGTTCCCACCGGAACAACAGCCCCAGACAAGAATCGAGGTCGCGATGCGCCTTCATCCTTTTTGCCAGGATGGATTCGCCCCTGGAATATTTTTAGCATGTGTTTACTTCAGTTTTCACTCCAATAATGACATTCCAATTCGACCCAGTATAATCGTAGTACATTCTACTCTGATATCCTTGCCTTGTTACATTGCTACACTAGACCTGATTGGAGGGGCTTAGGTTATAAGACTCATGCTATTTGATGTGTCTATCTACATAGTATCTATAAATAATTCAAGGGAACTGAGATACAATGACTCGGGGACATAAGAAAGATGAATTTAGGCCGTCCCGAGCTTCTCTGCGTTCTCAAAGCCAGTGTAGCTGAAGCCGGCGAACGCGGCACCAATGTCGGTGCTACTGCCGTTGAGAGTCTGGTACAGCACGTAGGTCTGGTAGTCAAGTAGGAAAGACGAGCTGTTAGCAAGGGCAAGCGACAGGTTGGCCCTGGCGATGGCGTCGTGGAGTTGAGTGTAATTGGCCTGGTTAACCCACTCCTGGGTGGACGGGACGTTGGAGCCGTTGCTACTGATAGTCACGTTGGCTAGCTGCGCTTGGGCCTGGGCAATAGCCCTGGCGAGGAAGATGCGCGAGTTGCCGTCGCTCGTCATGCCAACGGGCGCGCCGTACTCGGTGGTGTGGGTAACAGGTACGAGCCAGAGGCTAACATTGAGGCCAGCGGCTGAATCATTGGTAAACTTAAAGAACTTTTGAGCGTCGGTGAACTCGCCAGGTCGGTTAGAGATGAACAGGTTGTCGCGTGAGAAGCGCATGGCGTCTTCATAGGACACCCCGTCAATGTTGTAGGAGGTGTGGTCGGCGCCGCCAACAAAGAGGCCGACAACCTCTTGGGCACGCTTCATGGCCCAGCCCTTGGGACCGTACCAGAAGAGCGCGACGTCGCCGGGTGAGATAGCGGTGTCAAAGTTGTTTTCAGGGATAGCCGGGCCGGACCCGTCGAAAAGGTCGGCGTCAAAGTTCGTGCCCTCCCAACGCGTCTTGTCCGCGACGTCAATATTTCCGCGGTAGATCGAGTAAGTCCCGTTGGCGTTGTGAGTGATGGTGTCGACGGTAACGCCCTCAAGATAGTCGGCATCGATGACATCGGTGTAGCCATCTCCGTTAGTGTCCCAGAAGCGCACCTCGAGGCCGGCCACGATATTTGTGACAACAGACAGGGCGGCAGCATTGTAACTGTCTGCCTCGGTCTCAGCCTCGTAGCCACCCCACCACTTCGCGGTGGTACTGTTATAATACAGCCAGGCTACTTGGTTAACGAGATAGCCGTCGCTTATGCACTGGCTGACACTCTGAAAGGCGGACTCGGTGCCAGGGATGGCCCACAGGTTGATGTAGAAATCGCTGTTGGCAATGACAGATTTGACGCCCTCAAGAGCGCTCCCCTGCTTGAAGTACTGGTCATACTGGGTGGCGGTGACGTTGGCAGCGTCGCTACCCATGTCAAGCACGACGGCGCGGAGCAGCGTACCATTGATCTGGCTGCCAGAGTAGGGAGTACCGCAGGCAGCCAGGCCAGTGGCCGGTAGCATTGCTAGAACTGAGGCATTGGCAAGTTTCATGTTGGCTACAGCTTGCAGAGGAAGGAAAGTAAAGAAGCCGGAAGAAAACGAGCGGTGGGTAGGTAAAAGAGTGTGTGCTATTGAAAGTTTTGAAAAGAGTGTACATTTATATATCACCACAGCAGAGGTACATTTACTCTTAATACTTATCCTTCTTCCTTATTGCCGATGACGAATCCCCGTATAGTGAAATCCGGTTCGGGTGAAGCGGTGGGGCCGGTATGTGGGGACTGCAGAAAGTGAGTTAATACCACCCCGTCTCCACAGATTCCTCTGTTTCAAGCTATAGAAGAATTATATTTCGCTTTATCCGTCTATCTAGTTGTGCCGGCATAGAAGTCTGGCTATCAATTACTGGGGTATGATAGTAATCTTCCCGTCCCCATCTAGGGTTGGGGACAAGACCGAACGCACTCTGAAGATTGCCTGTTATTGGCTAAATCTCTCACGGTGGGCCTCCGGATTAGAAAATCATTTCTCCATTAAGTTTAGTCTCCGCTCAATCCAATTGATCTAGACGTTTTATGGCAGTTTCACCCCTTCCTTTCTTATACATCCGCGGCTTTACCCCGAAGACAATCATGGGCAAGGAAAACACTACATATTTCTCCTCAATACCTAGAGGCCGTTGTCATCAGCTGTACATGAAATAAGATAGCATTGGCCATACTGGTTAGGATGAACCTAATCGGAATAGTATATTCATGAGAACCAATCAAGAATATATATCCTATGTGTCTTAAGAGTACATCCAGTAGCCTATAATCATAATAAAAAACATATTCAAATATACTGATAGCACTGTAAGGTGTTCATAAACTAAATCTCAAGTCTTTCCTCCGTCCAAGTCCACCTAATTGTACTAAACAAGCTAGTATACCTAGATTATCAGTTTATAGTAAGGATCCGCCCCGAGCTGTCTATCTGAAGCCAGACATACATAACAGAGATAACTTGGGCAATAGGTCCGTCGGACTACCCACTGGTGGTAGTAGTACACTGCATATGCGACGCAACTAGGAGTTGGTCTCGCCGATGACCGTTCCATTGGTCGCGGCTAGGAATGAGAACTGGCGACAGGCAGGATAGCACTTTCACTCGCATAAGCCAGGAGTAATAATGAGCTAATTTACCATGACTGAATATCCTATAAGGGCTTGTAAAAGTGAAAATTGGAAACGAGATTAGTATGCCCACCAAGTTCCGGCGTACAAGAGTATTTCGAAAGGTTACATCCACATTTATATGCACAAGATTGAAGCCAGGAATCACTCCGAAAACATGAAGAGAACGCTTAAAATCGGTATATCCACGTGAATACTAGTGAACGTCCGGCTCTACCGGAGATAATGATGGATTGCTCAAGGTGTTCAGTCTTCTTTGTAGTGTCGTGGGTCGATGCGGGATATAGTGGGTCGATGGTGTCAGTTGTAAGAGATTTTATGGGGGTATATAACAGCCACATAGTTCAAATGCGGTTCCAGATTATACAGTCTCTGACTGGCTCGTCGCACATTCCTTTCCCGTATGATAGATGGCAGTTAAACTAACCTCCAGTTCGTCCCTGGGAAAAGCGAGAGGTAACGATACAAGCGTTGTACTCTGAATCACAGTAATACCCCAACCGGATATGTTATACACAAGCATAGCCATGCCACAGGAAACCATGTCTTACAATATTAGTCCTTCCTTCCTTAGCAGTAGTGTTCATATGAAAGCTGGTCGAGCAGTACAAATAGTAATAAGTTCCTATAAACAGCTAGTGTTTTCCCTTATGAACGGTTTCAAGTTCTATGTACTTAGTCATCAATATATATTTAAAGTCTCTTCAGAAATTATGCATGCCAATATTAATCATGACAGTTGGGCGGGAGAGCGGAAGTACCCAAATCTATTTAGATTTGAATTTAATACAAGACCTGGAATTAAGCGGAGGTCACCATGTACACATTTAGTTAGCCACTTTGAACAAATATCTGTATCTTAACTGTCTTCTATTTTTATTTCTTCTTTTGCATTAGAGAGCTACTTGGGCGCTATGAAAAATTACATAAGCAGTTGGTATATGCCGATTCGCATATTACACCCACCCACCGTGTGGTTCTAGCTAGTGCGATAGAGACAGGCCACTGTTTATACATAACCGAGGAGGTAAGGGCAGCCAATTGACTTTCTGTGGCGCAGTCTACTAGGTAGCATGCTGAGGGATTCGACACCGCTACAATTCTGCAATGAAAATGGGCCGTGACCAGGTAAAAAGTCATCTACATGAGGCAATAAGAATGGGGATTAGCAAAGGCAGTATAGGAATTTCCGTTAAGCACACCAATCTTTCGGAGAAAGCAATGTAGAGCAGTATGTTCGCCAAAATACAGAACAGGGGACGACTCGACCATCACACACATCATGGATCGAAATGATACTTCTAAGCCGCGAATTACAAGAGCAGGGTTCTGTCGAGGCCCTCCAGCTACATCCATATAAAAAGACAATAAAAGCAAAGAACTAGAGGCAAAGAAGAAAAACAAAAAATAGCAACTAGGGATTACTCCTGTTTATTGAACTGTTTGGAATGGTCTTCATTAAATTTACTCTGAAGAAGGCCAAGGATGAAATTTGTATGTCTTGCGGCGTCTTGAAGCCCTTTCACAATATCTTTCTACTGCCCCACAATGCAGGCATCCAATGGAACTGATAGGCAGCAACAGCAGCAGCCTCTTAACAATGCCCTACAGCCGTGTAGTACACCCCCGGGTGATAATATGGACGATTACTACAAATATACTCCAGTTCATGCTCCCAGCTACCTAGCCGCGTATCTGCAACAGCTCCAATCACTCAAAATCATCCCAAGCCCGTCACGGTGTACGCACAAATTATATAATAAATCCTACCAGGATATGGTGTGCAGACTTTTCTATTCTTTGCATATTATGAGTCTGAGCCTAACACATTCTTTTAATCTGCAGTATCCGGGAATGAACAAAGTCCTCCAGGAGCAATACAGATGGCCATATGTTTTCCAGGAGGCTAAGTAGAAGGCAGCTTTTAGGTGACGTGGAAGCGAATCGAGCTGGAGGATCCGGATTATTAGACAGATAATGCTGATGAGCTGGAACCTGAAGTTTTAAGAAATAATAAAGACGGTAATGACTTCCATCCTTAGTACTGAGGTGGCGGTCCAACTCTAGTCACATCTGAAATTTTCCTTAACATAAGATTATAGGTACGATGCCTCTCCATGAGGCTGTAGTCCTTCTTCCTCATGCCACAGCATGGTTGTTTCCTGAATGCCTGTGTTTCTGGGGTCCGGAAGAATTTGACAACAGTCAGAAGCATATCCACACTTCATTGAAGCATCTGCATAATTAGCACCATTCTTTACTGGTGCCATCAAATTTAATCCTATGAATTGAATTGAGATACAATGAATATAGCAAAAATTCTAAGTTACCCAGCAACTACCACCATCCTGGCCTGGCCTCAGCTGTGGAAATATATCTTCACCTGTGCAGAGAATATCAGTCCATTCAATTCTACCTATCCTGTCGATTGATTCCAACCATTCATTGGCTGATATGTGGAAGCGACATATCAGCCAACATACGTTAAATCCTTCCGCCGCTGCGTATATATAGCATTTTATGATAGGCTGCGATTCACCTCAATTGTGAATAGTGGCTGCTTATTCCCTTATGCCATACCATGAAACCCACTACGGTCAGACTGCCCTTCACGGATGGCATCTTCAGGATGGCTATATATATTGCGCTTCCGCAGCTCTCTTTTCTTTCTCCATCTTCCTCCCTTAATTATCTACCCATCCCAATGCAAGGAGCGATCTCCCCTTCAAGCAGGTCAAATAATAGCCTTATATTACCTATATAATAGCAGGAATAAGAGCATTAATGCTGTCCCAGACTTATATATGAAATTAGGCTTTATGGGCAGGGCAAGACATGCATCTTGGGGATGATTTATCCAATTGCCTGCAAGTTTTTCAAAATCCATTGATTTTGCATGCCTTGAAACAAACACGGGTAACTGATAGACTAGTGTGGTTGAGCAAGAGGGTTAGAAGAAACCAGAATGTAAAGAGACCAGCCCTACCATTGGAACTGAAGCATGAGGCCGGTTGAGCTTCCTTACAGACAGGAGACTTAAATATTTTCGACGAAAATCAGTGATCGACACCGCAGCAGCGGCAACATGGGCCAGTGAACCCAATTATCTTATTGGGGACATGGTGACCCCTGAAGAATCTGACACTATCGCATTATTGCTGTATACATAAGAAGACATCTTCGTGAGCGACATTGTTAGCAGGCCAGCGACAGACTCAAAAGAACACCACATTCCATTGTTGCCAGGAGCTATCCCCAGAGCAGCAAGTAAGTGCTATACTCATATCGCTTTACATTTATATGCAGCGCCAGAGAATAACTCCGGGGAATATATCGTAGTGACGACGTCGGAACTCGTTTGCTGCAATTGAGGGGTCTTTCCACTGGAAGAAAGTCCGGGAGATCATGAAGAACATGAACAAGAAAGAAGAAAGCGGCGCCCCCAGCAAGATCTTCATCATCTCGCAGTACCGCGTAGTGGCGCTTAACCTGTATCTCGTTTATCCCCCTCTTTGCTTTACCTTTTTTTTTTCTTTCCCTTTTTTATCCCCCTTTTCTACTATAGCCCTTAAGCTATATACCGGGGACTAGTCTAACGTTACCAGACAATCCTCAAAAATTACCCCTAATACTTTCCACACCTCGCCCCGGTGGCCGCTGCGGACCAGCATCCCTAGATAACAGCCTTCCAGAACCTTCTGACAGAAGAGACATTCAAACACAAGGGCCGGACTGCACAGACTCCACGAATCTACATCAGTACAATTGGCACTTACTCACACGGACTGACGCTTACCCGTGCCGCACATATAATCTTGAAGAAGACCAACTGGTGCAGGTATTTAGCCGGTACCATCAAATCAGTCAGAGAGCCAAAGTCATGTTCGCATATATCTTCCAAAATACCCAACTAAAAATGCGAGCAACTTGCCCTCGAGAGGCATTTAGCACAATTAACACTGGAAAAGACAATAGACTCCTACAACCGAAGATAAACGATTAATTCCCCCGCCCCCGTGGGGTGGGGTGGGGTTGGGGGGGGGCGTCACGTCTTCCTGAGAACCAGTCTAAGTTGAACTAAATCTGTACTGTGGTAATCCAGGCCTGATTCATCTAGTGGTCCCTGTATCAAGCACCCAAAGAGTTGAATTAGTGCACTCAAAACTCTACATTAGTTGACAATATGTGCCAGAAAACAAGCTTTCATCCTGGTGCTTGTACGGATCAACTGGAATTTTCTGGTCTACTCTTCGGAGCTTCTGGTCCTAAGAAAGAGTGAATAAGTGGCACAAAGCGGTATTCTCTGATGGCAGAGGTACAGAGCAGCCGGAGAACTTAGTCCTTCTAAACCTACTAGCGCATCGCCTCCACTCCAAGGCACTATTTGCCTTGGAACCATGCGGGGTCAATAAGGAGAAGACTGAGCTGAGAATTAAGTTCTGGTGGCTGAAGCTGTCGAGGTCAGTGGGGCCTACTATTCTATTTATGATTCCGGAACTCCCGGCTAACTATAATTCTGAGTTGGGAGGCATATGCCTCTACAATCTATTGAGCTACTAAATCATCAAGTCTAGGGACTGTATTGTAGTGATGATACAAGTATAATCAATCAATTAGTATTGGTTGATTAATCAAGGTATCAGGCTGCATCCCTTGATAAATGATTGTCTAGAAGATAAATATACCAGAACATCGTGAACATGCATTGCTGAACCAGTTTCCGATTCCAAAAGGCATTCAGTAAGTCATATAGATCTTCTGGTTCCAGCTCTGCAAGATGTCTGAGCTTTTATAGATCAGACAGCCATATGTAAGCCCATGAAGTGGGCGCATCTAAGTCGAAGGCTGTCTTTCGAGTTATTTCTGCCATCAGGTCTTGTCTCTCATTGTCTGCATTTTTAGCATCTGGCTTGTTCATCTAGACGATCCTTTAGCTTATATATGCTCATAAGAGTCTACCTTAGACGCTTGTACGCTGTGCTTCGGCGTAGATTGTTTGGTGAGTCAATGTAGTTGCGTAACGTAGCGATATTTTGGTCACATGAAGACTGACTCACAGTCTGTCCATCTTACACCACTTGTATTCTTGGACCTGGTTTCTCATCTACTATTGTGTTTGATAGTGTTGTTTAGCAATGTCCCTCCTCTATTTTGCTCGTTACTGGACGGGTAGTAACCAATAAGTATATTCATTATAAACCACAAGCCTATGTGCTAGTACTAGCTTATATATGTAAGGAGCCAGCTGTAGAAGCCTTCCAGCTGACGCCATCAGGACTCTCTCTATATCACCGCCATTGTATTCATGTATAAAGGATCTTGGGCTAAGACATCCAGGGGATCAGATAGCCTTATCAAGCATTTCGCGAAGTTCGTTGGCCACAAGGTCCGGGTTATCCCGCTGCACAAAGTGGCCGGCTCCCGGAGCCTGGAGCGGGCCTTTACTGCGTTCCGAGTCGGTGAGCTTGGCCAACCCTTCATTGAAGCGGTGCCAGTAGGGGTTCATATACACTTCCGTCAGCCTTGGTGGTGCACCGCCCATCTTCTCAAACTCGACCTTGAACGTCTCGAACTCGTGACCAATAACCGTCACCCACGGGCCCTGACCATCTGGACCCTGCAATCTAGGACCATCGCTGTTCGGGAGAAGTTCCGCCAAATTCTTCCGACTGAGGCCCTCACGGCTGCCATTGCTGGGATGGAAGACCCGCTGCATGTATGCCCGAGCATCACGGATCGCATCCACCGAGACGCCCTCTGGCAAGCTGGTCGTGTCGAAGCCAGGTGCATCAGGGTCAGGATAAATAGAGATAAAGTCGGAATTGGCGAGCACACTGTCCAGGAAGAGCAGCCCTGCCACTGTTCCAGGATATTCCTGCGCGTAAAGACGCACCAATGCACCGCCAATCGAGTTCGAAACCAAAACGAGGGGGAGACGACTGAGGTCGGATACACACAGCTTCTCCGAAGCAATTTGTGTAATAAGTTGACGCAAATCTCGAACAACGGCCAACGTATCATGACCATGCATGGGATCCTCAGATTTCACGTCGTCAGGGTCCCGGTCTGTGGTTTGGCCCTGACCGTACCGATCATAGGTCAACATGGCGGGCAGACCGCCCGCGGGAGGCTGAGCTTGCAGGCGAGCGATTGCGCCCTCCCAGGATGTCTGTGGTAGCCCCAAACCATTGACAAAAACGACTAGAGCTGGCTTATCCGTGCCTACAGCGGGCTGAAAGCTGTAACATAGCTTTGCGGATGGCTTGGTAGCGAGGGACAGGAATTCGTAGGAAGGCATATTGGAGGTAAAGACGACGACGACAATCAGCTGGGTAGGAGGAGGGTGCAATTATGACAACGAAGAATCGCTCGTACGTGAGCGCCTGGCAGCTAGTCAATGATATTAGAATTCAAAAGGCTCCATGAGCAGCTGAAAGACGAACACCAAGATTATGTAGTCGGATGAGTTCAGCCAAACCACCTCGCGAGGGGATGGGAGAGGCTGCGCCCAGCTGTGGAGACTCGCTTGAGTCAGTAGTCTGACAGGCTGGCGAGCCAGCCAGTGGTAAAACAGTCCAAGTTGAACTAAATTTGTACAGTGGTAATCCAGGCCCGATTCATTTAATAGTCCCTGTATCAAGCACCCAAAAGAGTTGAATTAGTGCAGTCAAAACTCTACATTGGCTGACAGGATGTGCCAGAAAACAAGCTTTCATCCTGGTGCTTGTACGCCAACATCGCTTTGCCTCTATCAGAAAGCACAGTCCCACCCTGGACGGCTTTACAGGGACATAGCATGATACACGTAAGCATTGCGAAAGAATCTAGCTAGGTAGGAGCGAACGACAACTTCTTTCATACTGTGCGAGCAAATAACAAGGCCTATGCAACCATGGCAATCAGCCTTGTGCATGGCTACTACCTCGGTGGCCAAACAAAGGGACAGACTAGCTACGCGACTCTATGAATTATTGTTATACTGGTCGTATCAGTTTCCGCACTCCGTTGTTCCCGAATTCCTCCTAGTGCTTACATTTGCCCCTCCCCCCACACCTCGCCGTAGCTTGTGCTATTCGGGCTAGTCTACTCGACCTACTCGGTCAACCCCTCAATTGTTGGATTAGTTCCGCTAAACTTTCTGGTGACACTCGAAACGTGAGTTGATTGGGATGCATGTGCAAAGACTAATGGTATCTTTCCCTCGGATAATGCGCACAACTTCTGCTCTAGGAGTTGAGCTCGGGCTTAGTGTAAACTCAGCTCCATGGTTGTCTGGGCCAGTCCACCACACTGATGCAATATTAGCATGTAAATACACTACACACGCCGAAAAGATACATTTTAGTGAATGAAAACATCCTCGCCAGATGCAGCCAGCTCATTCTAATCATTAAGCAGGGCCCGATAAGACATTCTTGTGGATGTGGCCGTTGATGACGATGGCATGCAGCCGCGAGGTATCCTGCAGAACAGTAATATCTGCTAGAGGATCCCCATCGACTAATATCACGTCGGCAAAATACCCCGGCTGCACTTTGCCCAATTCCCCCGGATAGCCCATGATCTCTCCTCCCAGGGCCGTGGCCGCTAGAATACTCTCCATTGGCGTGTAACCAAAATGCTTAACGAAATGATGCAAGTCCCGCGCGTACGTGCCATGTGGTGCCCATGCGAAACCATAATCCCCGCCTGGAAGCACCCGGATGCCTCTCCTGTGCATCTCTCTCATGGACTTGCAGGCGGCTTCCACCTCTGCCTTGACACCCTTCTGCTCGGCCATCTCGATCGTGAACCCGAATGGGATAGCATCTCCCGCACAAGTGGCAAGGGGCAGATTGATGGCCGGTGCTACAAAGACCGAGTCCTTTCGTTGCTCCAGCATATCTAAGCTCTCTTTGTCGTTGAAGCTAGCGTGGTAGATAACGTCCACACCTGCCTGGAGGCACAATTTGACAGATTCCTTGCTACGCGCATGGGCGCACACTCGTTTGCCTCGGTTGTGGGCCTCTTCCACGGCAGCAACTGTCTCCTCCAGGGTGAAGTACGTCTCGTCGCTCGGCATGCTGTCGGTGATGTTATCACCGGTTATGCTGAGCTTGATGTTATCCGCTCCCAGCTCGATGAACGACCGCACTGTCTTCCGCATCTCGTGCGGGCCGTCTGCATACTTCGATATGTCAGGGACGATGGCGCCCCCGGTAGTGGTAATCTCTGGCGTGTTAGCCAGGGTCCGCGGTCCCGGAATGAGGCCAGACTTGATAGAGGCCTTGATGGCGATGTCGAGTCGGGCACGCGCAGAGGCGGCCCCGAAGCACATGGTGTACCCGCAGTCGAGGTAGGTCTTGGCTGAGTGAGCGGTAGCAATGACGTGCTCTTCCAGTGGCATAGTGGTCAGCCCGTCTAGTGTCTTTGCATTGTTGAAGCTGAGATGAGTATGAGCATCAACCAGGCCCGACATCAGCGTTTTGCTGCCGCCTCCATCGATCACCAAGGCCCCTGTTGAGGCTGTCTCATCAACCTGTCCTACAGCCACGATGCGTTCTCCTTGGATTAGAACGTCTCCTGGATAAGGGAGGCTGCCTGTCGAGTCTAAGATGCGAACATTCTTAAACAGGACTCTCTCGGGGTCACCTGGCTGGTGGTTGTTGATAGTAATGTCGGCAGGTGTGGGCCGGTAAATCTCCCCGGTCGATTTTGAGATTGAACCCATGTTATCCAGTGAACACAGACGATGTGCTACCTGGCTGGAGAGAACTGACACCTCTCCACCCCTGACACTTCTTTTAAGCTGACCTGACCTGCTGACCAAGCCGGTGCTTGCAAGAGGGGTTTCTGCGGGGCTATGTGCAGCTGATGCTGGCTGAGGGATCTGCACAATGACATTTCTGCAGTCGTACATTGGCCCCGCATGTCAATCCATGTCTTCCTGCAATCAGTGTACAAGGTTGCAGGCAAGATATTTCAAAGAGGCGTCCTCAGCTGCCTCGTCAGCCATTCGGTAAAAACCCCATTGGCGACGGGCCCTCACATCCAGGTCGGCCATTCGCTATGTTCTCCGGGAACAGCCGTCTGTGCCCGCAAGGCATCGGATCCATTTCGTCGTTCAGAAGAGGGGGATCATCCACTCAGACTCGTTGTGGCCTTTTGGTTGGCACCACGCTGGCCGCGCCGTCGCGGCCGATCTACTTTAGCCTCGTGGGGTTCAACCTGCTCCGAGCGTTTCACAACGTTTGTCTGATGGCAGCCTCGGTGAGGTCCCCACTGCGGATAGTGTCAGCTCGAGGAGACCATGATCATCCCTTCGCCTTCAGCGCACACGGGAGAGCACTATCCCGGCCCGTTCTCCGCGCCACCAAAGGGAGCCAGCAGATAAGGCCCAATTACTGGACAGGTGGGGGACTACTCCGTATAATTTGACGATAGCTCCAGTGGCAGGTTTGGGATCGCACCTCTCAGCCGTTTCAAGAAACCGTCCCCTCCGACGATGCGTCTGATCATCGAGATGGTGGAGAGGGAGGTCGAACTCTATCGCCATCGTCGTCCCGCTCTATTGCCCCGCGCACTCACGTAGATCATACCATCTCACAAGTCCAGCGTTGCACAGCAAAATCTCATCGTCTGCCAGTATTCCATCCCATATCCCTGACTTGAAGTATTCCCTTTTCTTATATTTCTACCATCCAGCACAAATTCGTTGTAGGTTTTATTCAGGCTCTCCAGAGCAAAGCCTTCCCTGCTGGCGCACCGTGCCGCTAATTGACGGGAAAAGGCATGTCGGAACCTTCGTAGCCCAATGTCGGTCTCCAGTCCACAATATGCTATTGTTTCAAGAGCTAGCTGCATCTTTTCACGTTCGACGTAGAGCAGCACACAGGAACTCTTGCCACCAATCTCGCAAGGCTGAGTGACAACATTCTCGACATGCGCAACGCTATGGGCCTGTCGGAGAGCGGGTATAGTCGCGGCGACGAAAAGCCCTTTCTATTATCCTGCTCATCATACAGTCCTAAAAGGTTAAGATTCTGGTACTAACCTGAATACTGCAGTCAGGCAGGACACAACTGTCAAAGACTTCGATAATCTCTTCAATTGTCCCCCTTTTCGTTGACTAGTTGCGGTCGGCGGGCGCGTCAATGTGGTGGTGATGATGGACAGACCATGTAGCATATCTCTCAGTTTGAGTAATTCTTGCATTGGGGGTTGAAAATGCTTATGTAGATATGTAGAGTAAAGATGGGAGTCACTCATGAAGGGAAAATGGCACCCGTCGCATTCAAGCCTTGGTATATTTCCGAGTAGGGAGTAAACATGTGCCATGTGTTATCAAGGAGAGATTTTCTATCTAACAATAATATCCGAAGGGGAGAAGGGATAGATTTGCAAATATCACTCGAAAATGACATGACAATTGCTGATACGGTTGAAACCCCTGGATAACGCAACTATGGGGATACGGGCGGCTTTTCCGAAGGCTTTGAGGGAAGAACAGAAGAGGTCTCGGGAAGGCGAACCGTGTGAACCGGCTGCATCGCCTGGTGGTCTTTGCGATCGCTCTATCCCAAATGTCCTCATCACTCCTCATTCAGTGGAATTCTCGGTCGCGATCGGACCGACTCGACATATCTCCACCGGTAGGAGTCGCTCGTGTCCGCTGTCCCAGTCGAGTAATGTTTTCCCGTGGGAAAACAGGGGATGATTGATGCCAATACGGTCAGGGCCGGGAACTTCGCCGACGCGTTCCCTCACTTCCCCCCGCATGAGGGGATGGAGGGAAAGTGATTGCGACAGAGTGAGGGGAACATCCCTGCTCTTCCTGGCCTATATAGAAGAGTAGAAATGGTAGAGAAGGCAGTCATTGGCATCCCGATCCTCTACCAGTTCAATCATCCATCTTCCTCACGGTCGCATACCCTTCAGAACCCATCCATCCAACATGTCTCCCTCGCTCCACCCTCTCCTCGACAACGGCATCACCAAAGGTGACCCCAACTTCCCCGGTGGTAACCTCTACTGCAAATGCTCCTCCGACAAGGTCGTTGTTAAGCTGGCCAGCAATGTCGCTCACAACCACGCCTGCGGCTGCTCCAAGTGCTGGAAGCCCGCCGGTTCGCTGTTCTCCATCGTCGGAGTTGTTCCCCGCGACGCCGTCTCCGTTACCGAACACGCAGAGAAGTTGTCCATCGTTGACGCGTCCGCCGCCATCCAGAGATATGCCTGCAAGGGCTGCGGGGTGCACATGTTCGGTCGCATCGAGAAGGACCACCCCTTCAAGGGCCTAGACTTTGTGCACGCCGAGCTGTCCGATCAGAAGGGCTGGCAGGAGCCTCAGTTCGCGGGATTTGTCTCCTCCATCATTGAGCAGGGCTTCCACCCCCAGGGCATGGAGGAGGTGCGCTCCAAGTTCCACTCCCTCGGTCTCGAGACATATGATGCGTTGTCGCCGGCATTGATGGATCTGATTGCCACGTTCACGGCTCAGAGGGCGGGAGTGTTGTCAGCCAACCTTTAATTCATCAATAACATGTCTATCGACGCAGGGGAAGAAGGATGTAGTGGAGGCGTGAACAGGGAAAGAAATGTAGCAGTGCTACACTAAATGTACATACTTAATAAGATCAATGAAGCTTCAGCTTTCATTCACTCCGAAAAAGTGACTCCGGTCGTCCTTCTGGCCTCCACAATGATCGCCATCTATTGGGGTAAATGGGTAAAAATAGAGGTGTGTAGGTAGGAAGGAAGACGTGGAAGGGTCGGGTCCTTTTATTATTACTGTTGAAAATTCACCCAAGGTCCCCAGCACTGTCCGAGCACCACTACTTTTGCTCGTCACCCCTAGAGTCGTTGCTAATGACTATTAGTCGAGGATGAAGTTACCGTGGATAAGAAGCAGTACGTAGTACAAATACTCTGTGTCTCCTAGAGGAGTGAGTGAACAGTCTGATCATGGTAACCTTTTCAAGGACGGTGCCAATCATGTTGTACCTGTGATTGAAGAATATACAATCGCATTCAACGCCAACTCCTCTACGGTCGCAAATTGTTCTAACGCGCTTACATTGCTACACATTCCTACTGGATAACAGCTTTTCAAAATGGAACAGAATACGGTAGTAATATCGGCGTCAAGGACAACAAAATAGAAGGGAGCCAAAATTCATTGTTCGTCGGAAATATAGACAGACATACACGCCAGGGAACCCTCGAGCCAATCAACAACGCAATGCAAGAAAAAGGGAATAATGAGTACAGGATAGATATATATACAACAAGGAAACAAACTCAATTCACATCTGAGCATCGGCTTCCTTGCTACCAGATGACAAGTGCACCCGGCGGAGAAATCCCCCAGCCTTGGTAGCGCAATGACGGGCTTCATCCTTGAACCCCATAATCCACCCAATCATCAACACATCATGCGGCACCTTCTCCTCAACTACCAGATCGATGGATGTCTCATTTCCGGGCAACTTTTGAAACTCTTGCGCCAGCTTCTTGTGATCTTGACAAAGGACCTCGCGACCGCCGGTAATGACCAACACCGGCGAGGGAACAACAAACGGATGCCAAATGGGAGCTACGTACGGCTCAACTTCTGAAGTAATTTCCAAATCGCCAAGGAACTGTTTGGCTCCCCAGGCTGGGAAAGAGCCTGGTATATATTCGGTTTTGTAGTTGGTGCTGTGCGTCCAGGCACTAGGGTCAACTGCAGCAGGTACGTCGCACCAAGGAGACCAGGCCCAGCTGCACTTCGGTGGTGGTAACAGATCTGGCCGGTTAAATTCGACTATATACCGGAGAAGCGCCAGGACGAGGTGACCCCCGGAGCTGTCGCCGCTGAGTACGATTTGAGAGGGCGAGATCTGGAGGGCGTGAATGAGATACACGTATGCTGCGAGTGCATCCTGCAGTTGAGCGGGAAACCGTCCGTTGTGGTTGCAGGCGAGTCGATACTGGGGGCAGAGCATGTAGCTGGCGGGAGTCTGTTCGAGGAGGGTCTGGGCCATGAAGTTACAGGAGGAGGATCGACCGTCACCCAGAATGTAGGAACCACCGTGGAGGTGCAAGATAACATATTCGCCATCCGGAAGAGAGGTGCCGCGAGTAAAGGGCTCAGGATACCAGGTGGCACCGATGGTCTCGGGTTTGACAGCTTCATCCACCATCACTCCGGTGTAACATTCCGGGGCGGCAGGGTTAATCAACACGAATCGATCCGATTCGTGGTGTGGCTTGAGAGATAGCGGCCATTTCATGTGTAGGGCAGTAAAGGTACGGAGGAAAGCTTTGAGCATCGAACCGGCTACTCCTTGGTGATAGGACCAGCTGGGGTCATGGCGAAATCTGGGGTGGCCATCAGCAGGCATGTCGGCGGATGGAGAAGGAAAGGAAGACGAAACAGACCGCACGGGTGCCATGGTTGAGGATATTGAGAAGGTAACATTCGAGTAGAAAACCTTCTAGAACACAGTAGGATCATAAGGCTGGGTAAATCTCCCCGGCTAAGCATCGTGGCCCTGGGTGCCAAGCTTTATGGCCAAGCCGGGGGATCCACTGCACTTTGAGGTCATCATGACGTGTATGCCCATTGAAATTTCAGGCATCCCCTCTTCTAGGAGAGGCAGTGGGAAACAAACATCTGGAACTGTGAATCAGGATCTAAATCGGGCTCGCACTTATAGCTTTTACTATGATCTCATTTATCGAGAGTACAGGATGAATAATAACTCCAGCCTTGCAGCCTGGTCTCCAAGCCGAAAGAGGCACCCGCGAGTGAACCAAGGAAAAGCGCCAATAATCCAGTCCGCGATCAACGGATAGACAGGGGAACACTGGCTAGGTTTGAGTTGGTCCCCTGTTCCAGACGATCTCAGTGAGCTATGCAAAATTTGCCACAATTGCGGTCCTAACATTTCTACGTACTAGGTAACATAAACCGGCCGAGATAACAGAACGCGAAGAATGATGCTGACTGTTTGGTCTATGGCGGGTGATCCGCACGGTCGCTGTGGCGGTCTCTCCCCGTAAGAAGGGCCTGTTAAAATGCCACTAGGTTAAAAACCTCAGGGAACTGATAACCGGTCTTAATGATTATGCTCAAAAGGACCCGCTACTCGAGCTACCAGTGTCTTGTACTGCAGAATCCGTCCGGTCATCCGATACTCATCCAAGTTCCACCAGTCTATTGACAAGGTAAACGACAATTTCCAGTATACATTGTGATCGATACATACTCCCAAAAATATCCTTTCTGCTTTCAGAGCTCGCATAACTCTTCTTCAGTTGTTGGACTGTGGAATACACACTTTACACCGCTACGTGTCTCTCGACGTGTGTCACTTGTGCAACCCCGTCCTCCAAAGACTTCTCCTTGCCATCCCCGCCCACCGCTGCAGCAGCCGCCGCTCCGACATCGAGATGAGAATGATTCAAATAGATCTGCTCGCTGCGTGCGACCACTTCGCGGACGTTGCTGGATGACGAAAATAGAAAGTCAACTGACTCCAGCGTGAGGGACGACGTTTCCGGAAAGAACAAATACACAATCACACAGCAAACAAAGTTGAGAATAGCCCAAATAATATACGTCCGCCAGCCGATGTTGTCGATCGTGACGGGCGCAATCTCCACCGTCCAAAACTGATTGGCCCACTGGAAGAAGACGGAGAGCGCCAGCGCTTTGCTCCGCACATGCAGTGGTAGGATCTCGGCAGGGTATGTCCACATGTTGGACATCCATCCCCACGTGAAGAAGGAGAGGTAAAGGAAGAAGAAGACGACAGTGATGATGACCGACACTTGGCTGTCTTTCCACAGAGTAATGCAAACCGCAATCATGCAGCACCCCATCCCGAGGTTTCCTAGGCAGAACAGTCGGCGGCGGCCCAGCTTGTTGATGTAGTACCACGTCACGAAGGATGATAGGAGGAACCATATCTGTGAGCAGCCTGACACAAGGTTCGCGAGATTGGTACCAAGTCCGACCGAATTCGTCAAGATAAAAGGGAAGTAATATTCCACAAAATTGATCCCGGTGTAGGATTGCATCGAGTTGGCCGCGCAAGCGATAATAACACGCGTACGCACCTTGCTAGGACCTTGGCGGAACAAGCTCCCCCATGATCCGCCGTCTGATTCCAAGGCAATTGCCGAAGCAATATCCTGCAGTTCAGCTTGGACTAACTCGTGGTCCACGGGGAGATCACGGAATGCAGATAGAGCAGCGGCGGCAGCCTCAGTATGGCCGTGGGAAGCGAGCCATCGAGGGGACTCGGGGAGCACCAAGGTGAAGCCAAAGGCGACGATGGGGTAGATGGCCTGCAAGGCGAAGGGCACGCGCCAACTGATCTCATTGTCAAGGAAGCCAAGTCCATAGTCGACCCAGTAGGCAATGTTCGTGCCGATAATAAGGAAGGTCAACTGCACGGCCACCATGACAGCACGCATCTGGGCCGTAGCGGTCTCAGCTAGCCAGACTGGGGAAGCGCTAGTGAAGAGCCCGAGACCAACCCCAAGGATGATACGCGACACTAACAGTTGGGCGAGGGAGAAGGAAGAGGCGTTCACGACGTCTCCCACAATGTGCACAATGCAAGCTAGCAAGATCGTCCGTCTCCTCCCAATTTGCTCACTGATAAGCACGGCAGCCAATGCCCCTAGCATGCAGCCGATGTCATAGGACGATACCGCAAGCCCCTGCACAGCTGCATCTGGATTTCCAATCATGTTGAGAAAGTTAGGCTCTGAGATGACCTGACCCATCAAGCCATTGTCGTAGCCGAACAGGCAGAAGCCGGTCGAGCTGACGACGGTGACCAGATAGACCAGGGGCTTTCCTCGTAGGGACAACATTCTTGGTCCTATGAACAAACTCTACTGCCATGCAGTGGTCCTGTATTTATACTGCATCGATGGTAGGGAGCATGAGTTTCCCCGCATTGTGTTTCGTCATGGGCAAGGAGTAAGCCTACAGCCATCAAATGGTCTGCCCAGGCTTACCGCGTCGATCAAAGCTTAACAGCCAATAGCTGAGATGTACCCATCCGGCACTCCAATGGGGATCTGATGCAGTAGCAACTGGAGAACTCGGCCCAAGTCCGACTCTCCGCACTAACCCCAGATTCCACCCCAGCCTGGTGCCCCCACGCCCCCGGACGTAGCCCATCCCACGTCCAGCTGTCCAGGCAGATTTTGGTGCCATCCTTGCATACGTATGGTAAGCAACCATTTCTGTGAAAAGCCATATTGTTCACAGGCTTATCGAAACAAGAGGACAGGATACTTGGCGGGGCAGTAACGGGTGGTCACAGTTACGGCTACTCAACAAGACACCGGCACTTATTTGACAGTAAAATCGAAGTACTGACAGAAGCGAAACCTATGTGATACCAATCAATGAGACATTTTTAGGATCATATCAAGGGTGGGACTCGTACTTTCCCCGATCGACAGTCCCGAGGTTCTACCGTTTGCTTTGAACGAGCAGCTGTGCCCCCGTAGCCTTGGCAATTTACTGTCAGATTGATACAGTCCCTATGGCCCTCTTTATCTGGCCAGCGTTGGGGGTTGAGGTGTGCCATTTACCCCCAGATCTTTCGGGCTGTTTTATCCGCACTAGGCACGCAAGCATACAGGAATCGCACCATTGAAGACGCGTATTCTAGCTATTGTGGACACAGTTGCATGGAGGACGTGGACCTTGTAGGACATATGGAGAGATTTTATGCCAGCTTCCTGCGGTATTGTTCACCCAATTACCGCATGCGTCCCTACGTCCCAGAAGCGTGATGTACCCATCCGGATTCCGAGATTAATAAAGATATACACAGAAACTCAGAACAGACCGACTTATTGAGCCAGCCCCATTAGGAGATAAGTCTAGTACTCCAGATCGTATGCCAAAGTATCCTCACATAATTGCTCGCGCATTTCATGCAATCTGATTGACCGTTAGCTACTACCAACTTCCCGACTGAGGTCTCCACAGTTCTAGGTAGACTTACTCAAGGTGCGCTGGATGAGTTGCATAGACCTGCAAATCGGACGGCTTCTCCAGGATAGCCACCAACCCCATATTGTAGCCCTTTGCGCGGGAGGCGGTCATCGCCACTGGTGGGTTGGCATGGAATTCCAGCAGTCCTGGACAGATGTCACATATGAGTTTGCTAGTAATCATCACATTCGCCCGGGTAAGTACTGACCTGGAATTTTGCCAACCATGCCTTTACCCAAGCGGGCCCAGGCCTCGAGCTCAGCAGGTGCAACACCTGGCTTCAAGCGGAAGAGGACTAGCTGACATGTAAATGTTGTGTACAACGATATGATGGAAATGACAGGGATGAGACGCACCGACGTGGAAGACAGGCATAACTACGCTGGACGAGCAATTTTATTGGCGATGGCGATTGTGGCGACGTATGCAAGAGGAAGAAAGGAAGAAAAGCAGTAGCGAGAGTTGAATGAGGGGAAATCGAGGAGGATGTGGCGGGGTAATGTTTAGCCTAAGAAACTTGCCGGCTTGTTATAAATCACATGACGGCTTGGCTGGAGACTATTCATCTGTTGAAAAAACATGTTTTGGACAGTTATCATCTACTATGTAGTATACCGCTTGACTTTCTGCTTCATATATATAATTATTAGTTTATTGTTTACCCGCAGCAGGCCTAAGCCACCGAGTGCTCCGATCCATGGAAAGATACAGCCAGGGGGGATAAAAAAAAAAAAAAAAAAAAAAAAACCCCTAGCATAGGAGTTACATCTGCATCAACTAAATGCTGTTGATGAATGTGGTCCTGCACTGGGTTTGGCTCCTAGATATGCTACATCTCAACTAGTTCTCCTTCCACCGAGCCACATGCCCTTACAATCTCGTCTAGGCAAAAGCAATGCAAGAACAGACTCACTAACGATGAAGAGGATTATTATTGAGCAATTTACATTTCGGGCTGCCGGTACATCCCCGGGGCTACGGCGACAGTATCTTGCTCGATTCCCGATTTCTAGAGAGAGAAAGGGAAAGTCGACGTGCAAAATGATAGGATTGTTGCCGCACGTTAAAAAGATTGTCATCAAAGGCTGGGCATGTATCATACCAGGCGTGTGGAGTCAACGTTACAATTTGTGTCCTTTCATCAGGGTGGTCCCGTTCCATGTCGCCCGCGCATTTGCTCGTTAGTATGTAGATTGCTGTACGGATAGCGGCACCCAAGCCAGATTCCTGGTTAAAGGGACTGTCATTCTATCTTTCTTCCAACAACACTTCTTCGAGTCGGCGCCGGAAGGTGTCATATGGCTGAAAGGGAATCCTACTGCGTCGGATCGGTGGCCATTCGACGCAGTTTGCAGTATTTGGGGTGTCAAGGGCCCTGAGGATCTCGTTGGGAATCTGCATTTCGTAAAGATATATGAATTGGCTGTCAGAAGCATTTGTTACCAGGAGATGTGACTTGGTGACATGAGAATTAGCCTTCGAGTCAGCAAGACAGGCCTAAGTAGAATTCACGACTTACAGCGTAGGTATTCTGGTGCTTGGGGTGGCGCAGTCGCCGCTGCAGCTGCCCGAGAGACAAGAGGACACAGACCAGATAAGGATCACTCTTCCAATCTCTCGTAAGGAGCCGATTTTCGCCGGCTGACCTATGGACCACTGGCGTGTGTCCCAGTCGCCGAGCTCGCCGTTCCTGATCACATTCCCGGCGGTATCCTGCCCGATCGTTGTAATTGAAGTATCCAACTAAGAGGTCGGCAGGACTATGCTCTGTCTGGGTATCTTGAAGACCGCGCCAGAAAGTGGCGCATTCGAGCCGATGGACAACTCGACCGGCGAAATAGAAGTTGATTCTTCCACTGCTTAGGGAACGGGTAAGTCGAATCCACTGCGTACGTAGGGTCAGTAGTATATTGTTGCTTACGTTTTCCGTGTTTTCAAAAGGCTACCTTCATAGTCAAGGAGGTTGACCAAAGTGAACAGCTTGATAAGAACAGCACCAGATCTTGCCAGACGTGCAGCATCACTACCTGAGTCATCCTTCAATTTGGGGTCGACAGAGGATAAACTAGATGTGTGGGACTCGGCACCAGAACTGGGCAAGGAGCAAATCTCTTCGAATTGGCATCCCAGTATATCAAGGTGGCGCGACGTCCATAGCGAAGGTGGGACAAGAAGACGCTTCTGCCGCAGAAGAGCATAAAAGCCAGTCGAACGATGGCTTGTCTGCATGGTCGGGAGATAAAGGCGTTGAGAGGTTGTTGCGCAATCATGCTTCTAGGTGAACCAGCTGTGCAGCCTTGCCAAACCTCATGGAGGAATCATTCACTCGGACTGACCGCTTTGGGCTAATGTGGGCCCGACCCTGTGAATGGATTATCACACCTGCTCACGGATATATACACCGGCTTTACCCGCCAAATCCCTTTACTTCTGTATAAGCATAATGCTTTCGGCGCTCCGTAGTGACCGGCTTAGCTGGAAGATATTCTCTTCTCCAATTTGGGCAGTATCGGGGTGGGTCAAATAGCAGGGGTTGTAATTAATAGCTAGAATGATTGTAACTCGGTGATAGTAAAACATGATCGTTATGGCGTGGCGGCTGAATGCACCCACTAACTTCCTTTTATGATACAGAGGATAGCATGCTGGTTTCTATATGGCATTCATATATAGGTGACGGCTCAGACATGGGTGTGAGAGGATCAAATTAGAGCTGGGCATCAGTTCAAGCTTAGAGAAATGCTAATAGTATATTACGAGCTCATTTAGAAGAGGCAGCCTCCGTACACCACCGGCCAGCGTTGTCCTGGCGGAGGCGCATTGACTGAAGTCCAGATGTTGGAACCAGGAGCCTTCCCGGCACCGCTAGAGAGATAGGCCTACGAACAAACAGGACGAAGATGGTGGCATCCAATCGTGTTTCATCTTGATCGCTATATGTAGTCAAATGGTAAAGGGCGTGAATAATGCCAGCGAAACGCGCCAATGGGAGGAAGAGCGTAAGGGACGCGGGCATGACGATGAGCTTTGTTGTCAATTTGTTGTAGACCAGTTTCGACCGGATTCAATATTAGCATATCATTAGTATAAAATAGCAGGCATCACTCTTCATATTCTAGAGTACCAGATGAAGATACCAACAACGTCAAATCAGATTCCAGCTATCTCCGGTAACGGGTGATCTTGATACATAGGAAGCCAACTCGAACGACCGCGTATTCGTTACTCTCGAATAGTAAACACACAACTTCACTCACTACAGACTGTAAACAAAGTGAATGTTCTCGTAGTCTGTCATGTCTGACTCTGCATTTAGGCGGCCCTGATGCGCTGACTCCTGGGCAGTCATGGCCATGGCGGCAATCAGTGAAGCGCGACGTTTATTCTGCCAAAAATCTAGATGCAAATTTAGCTTTGAGTACCGGACGCAGATTTTGAGTCGATGGGTACTTACAATAGGTGCGCCACGCGATCATCAAAACTATCTCCAGGCCATACATAATAGAACATACTACAATCGCGGGAATGTATCGTGGCGCGTCCTTAGCTCGGAAGACCTGGGCACCGACGCAGTTCCCTACACAATAGGCAATAAATAGCACAGTCCCTGTAACCGACTTCTTCGTTCGACCTGCCACGTTAGATGGCAAGAGAGTCCAGATCAAAGGACCGGCCAGATTGCCCACACTGGTCATGAAGTACACGCCCCAGCGCGCCCACAGCAGGCTCGAGGAGTGAGGGAGCAGAGCCAGGGCGAGCATACCGCAGAAGGCAGGGATCACCGAAACTATCATGATATAGACTGCCACCCCTGGATTAGTGCCTCGGCAAGTTAAGGATGACAGGGACAACGCACAGCGGGAATCCCGTTTTTTCAATGTTATATAACCAGCGATCAAAAACCACGCGATCGATAGCAGCTGTTGCGGAATCTTACCCTTAACGATGGTCTCCAGGGCCGTAAAACCAAAGGAGACATACACGAGGTTTCCAAAAGCAGTTGTGCCTCCATTGGGAATGGAATTGACAATGACGAGGAAGAAGAAGAAGTAGGTCTGAGGGTCGCGGAACGTGATGGCCACCTGCTTCCAATCCAGAGTGCGCTTCTGGGCATCTGAGCCAGTCTGACTGGCCACCACCCGCGCCGCAGCCATGCGCTTTTCCTCAGGGGACAGCCAGCGTACCTCGCGTGGTGTACCTAGGAGAAAATAGGCGATGCCGCTAAGTACAATCGTCAACGCCCCTAGAAAGAAGGAGATGCCCTTCCAGGGAGCCATTCCATTTGGGTGTGTCTCAGCGCGGCGGCCAATACCGTAGTTAACCAAGCTAGTCAGTACGTCCATCCCAGCGTTAGCGCTGCCCCAGATGACCGAGCGCATTGCATGTTCTTCCTTGGTATACCATGTGGCTGTGATCAGCAGAAGGGCTGGGTAGGTGGTGCATTCAGTGACACCTTCAAGGAATCGCAACACTGCTAGACCCGCAAAGTTGGTGGCGAAGGCGATGCACAACACGATGACGCCTTCGAGCTATCATCAGTGGATAGCTCTCTCAACATATTATGTGGACAGACTCACCCCACATGAACATAGACACGGCCACGGTCGGGCCAACACTGACACGCTGCAATATATAATTACCGGGGGCCTCGCTGACCAGGAAAGCCAAGTAGAAGATCGAGGTCAGCCAGGAGTATTGTTGACCCACCAGATGGGTGTCTTGCTCGAGGCCAAATGTGGCCTGGGTCGAGATTGATGCCTTGTCAGCGTACTGCGTGCCAGAAATAATCCACATCAACGGGAGGATGATCCAGTCCACCTTGCGCACGAGCCGGCGGTACTGGTCCGGTGTATATTCGGCTTCACTAGCGTGGACCAGGTCGACAACCATGCCGGGATGCTTGTCATCCCCAAGCGGCGGAGGATCCGGCGACCTCTCTGCCAACGCAATGTCTACTTTTCCAGATGCCATGAAGGTTTAAGTTGCTGAAACTTCCTCTCATGATTTCGTTGTCCAGTCGGTTGCAAGCAGCCAGTATTTATCGGGTGCGTCTATCTTTGGCCCTGACATGCCCTGCTTGCCTGTCCGCCACTTCGGATCTCGGGCCGCGCATGATAAGAAAAGAGAGGAGCGTCGTCAATCTCGACGATCCTCTTCATTATGTGCGACTTAATTTTCATACAAATTCTACTTCATATTGCTCCCTTCTTTCATCTGTGCATTATCGTCTTATCTTCCTCCACCACAGATACAATGACCCAATCCCAATCCACCAACGAACTCCCCACGGCGGTTGACTTCAGCCACCATATCAACTCCCGCTCCCGGGCGCGTCATCCCAGCCCCCTCAAGGACATTATTCGTTTTATGGCCGTTGAGGACATGGTCAGCCTGGCAGGAGGTATGTTACAGGTCAAGCTATGTCTTTTTATCGTTCTGTCTCGATTAGATGCCCCCATGTTCTCGATTTTGTTTCCCCTTGTGACACATTTGCTGCTGCTATGACCCGTTTGCCCTCCCTATTCGATCTTTTGTCTTATGACCGTTCTCTTGTCCATACTACATTGGTCAATATTCCAATATCTGGGCCACCAGGATGCCAACTACATAAACTCGGTGAACTGAGTAGTTTTGGTTGTACGCTGCTGGAGTGAATGGCATCAGCTGAACACATATACGCCTTCTGACACATGTTTACAGGCCTTCCACATCCTTCCTTCTTCCCATTCCACACAGTCACTGTAACCGCATCAGCTCCGACAGCCGAGAACAGCCTCTGCTCCCTCGAATTACCCCTTGAGGGTTTCTTGCAATATGGGTCGGGATCAGGCAATGCCGAACTACGTGCCTGGTGCCGCGAGTTTACCCAACGGGTGCATCGACCGGCATACGCAGACTGGGAAGTGCTGCTGCATCCCGGAAACACCAACGCATGGGGTAAAGTGGTTGGCCTGTTATGTGAGCCAGATGACTACATCCTGTGTGAGAGTTACACCTACCCTTCCGCGCAGGCCTTTTGGATCCCCCTGGGTAACAAGGCGGCCCCAGTTCCATCGGACGCGGAAGGCATGCGTGCTGATGCTCTCGCTCAAACATTGCGCGAATGGGATGATTCCCACCCTGGCGCCCGGCAGCCGCGCGTGCTGTACCTTGTCAGTGTCGGCTCCAACCCATCGGGCGTTACGATGAGCACAAAACGTCGACAAGATATTTACGATGTGTGTGTTGAGCACGGTACGGCTGACCACGTACACTACTGGCTCTGCACGGTGGGCTGATAATTGAGCAGATGTCATCATTGTCGAGGACGACCCATACTTTTTCCTGCAGTATCCGGAATACAATGCTAGTCAGGTCGCCATGGACGACCCTGAACTCGTCGGAAACGATGAGTTCTTGAGGTCCTTGACACCGTCAATGCTCCAAATCGACCACCAGGGCCGTGTCATCCGGTTGGAGTCCTTTAGTAAGACACTGGCACCGGGTCTGCGGCTCGGCTACTTTGTCGCTAATTCGGTGTTCACGGAGCGACTGCTTCGTGCGACCGAAGTCGAGACCCAGGATCCATCCGGCCTCTCACAGGCGCTTACCCTCCGCTTGATGCAAAGCTGGGGTATCGGCGGCTATCTTGGATGGCTGCAGGGGCTAAGTGTGGAGTACCGTTGCCGACGTGACTGGATGATTGACGCCTTTTCGCAGCATTTCCGCCTTGAGAACGCGGCGGAGGATAGCAGAGCCCTGGTGGCCCACCTCAGTGACATTCCTATTTTCTCCTTCGTACCACCGACCGGTGGTATGTTCATCTGGGCCTGCTTTTATCTGTCGCAGAACTCTGCCTTTAAGCAGCTACGGCACGATGAGAACGTGGTTGATCCGGAGCAGACTGTGGCCGACCAGCTTTGGCGGCAGTTCGCCGAGGCCAAAGTAAGTAAAGTACAGGTTGTTTTGTAGACAATCTAGAGGACGTATTGACAATCACTTCCAGGTCCTCCTGACCCCGGGGTCTTATTACCACCCCTGGGAGGGGCCGGACAAAATTACAACCCACGCGCGCGGAGCCACACCCTCGACGACCAACTTTCGGTTTTCCTTCTCCATGACGACGGTATGAGACCCTGTCAAGACTATCTGATTGAATGAGCTAACAGCGGTACAGAAGGAAGAGATGGAGCGTGGTATTGCGCGAATGGCTCGAGTGATACGGGCGTCGTGGAAGCTTGACCAGTTAGTAGGTTAAATCCGTCTTAATAGAAAAGACCATATATAGTCCCTGCATCAATACCTAGTCCAGTTTGTATAATAATTACATACCATGAAAATGAAGTGTTACATTCATACGCCCCTGGTCGCACAACTCATAGGTTTCACCCATGTAAGATCCAGGGTAGGAAGCAAGTTTCGCGGTCGGCGACTGCTTGCACTGCAAACCTAGCATGTCCACGCAGCATATCCACTCTTGCTTATCGGCTGCACTAACTGTTTATCAACATAATACCAATCTAACAGACTGCGGATGAGATCCGAACCAAGAGTGGGGTCTTTCTCTCTTGCTCCTGACTTAACACATAGCAGGCTACGCAAAGAAGACCGCAGTGGCCGCTATCTAGCTTGTGGCGTAACGCGGAAGATGTCATCGGGTCACAGACCTTACGCGCTAAGGATATCCTACGGTATCTACCTGCTGAGATCACCATCATCGTCTGCTTCGGGCTCCTGTGTTGTCACTCTCGGGTTTGTATCATGGTACGACCGTTGTTAGCATACCCTCATGACCGCTAACCGGGCCCGGCCAGGCTACCAAGCTTTGAAAACCCCTTGCTTCATCTATTTGTACTAAGCGGCGGAACCTAATGACCAAAACAGCCTTGTTCAGCGTAGCCCATCACTATGTTTACTCAAAAATTGGCAACCGTGTCGCATTCGCGCATATTTGTTGCGAAGGTACATGCGGGTATTGCACACCACTGCTAAAGCCCATTGAAAACCATGTCCGCAGTAGATGGTGAAAAGGGCTCCCACAGCCCATCCAGAACGGGCAAAGATGGAAGATGAGCGCTCGCGTCTGCCCGGGGATGTTGCAAGAGCCGCTCCAGGATTGCCCTGCCACGACTCGCGCAGGGCCACACGCACTCCAGCTCGATCAAGGATTGTAACGCCTGATAGACGTCACTGAGGCCCGCGGCCGGCTGATCGCTCTGTGGGTTCTCCATGGTCCATAGCAGAATACCAGAGATAGTAAGATACTGCACGCAGAAGGCGAGGTGATGGGATGGAGGCACCCGCTCGCGGATTAGCTCTGCAGCCTGGATGCAGCTCCGCGCCGCGCTGATGCACTCGCTACTCGGATCGGTGAGGGTGGACAGAGTTTGACCGACAAGAGGCCTAGCCGGTAACATGTTTAGTCATCTCTGAACATTGTATCGGGGCTCGGACGTTGACTGAATGAAGAAACATACCGATACAAATTCATGATGATAGCTGAGTGAAGGATAAAAACGATAAAGCACATGGTGAGACTGGGTCCCGTCTGGATCCGGTTGGCGGAAAATCGGATCTCATCCGGCAGCTGCTGTAACCAATGCTCCAATTCATGAACCAGCCGGTCGACGGCCGGTCGCAGATGTTGCCAGCGCGCTGTCCATGTCTCTCTTCGCACTGGCGGCGAGCCGTGTAGGCGATGCACTTTGGCAGCTATCCGACACAGGCGAGTGAAGGCGACGAACCCAGCCATGGGCGAGCTGTCTCCGTCGGCCGAGGGCAGCTCGCAGCAGCAATCTTCCAAGTTGGCGGCCATGGGACGACCGAGGCAGATGGAAGTAAGGCTGTATGCACGGTCAGAATCAATTCTATCTTTTTTCTCCTAGTTCCTTATGTATTCCACTATGCCCTTACGCCTTTTGTTGAAGCAGGGAAATTGAAATTTGGGGGAACTACCAGTCGAGTGTAAACAAGCCCCACCATACCCTTTGGGCGACTTGCGCGTCGGCATCGTGGTCGCTAGTGGAAACATGGGCATCCTTCTGCAGTTCTACCGTTAATCTGACAAGCACGAGTTCAGTAGTGACAGTGCACAGGGTGTTGGTGACATACCAGGCTGGCGATATGGAGGCCCAAATCTTGGGCGATGCGGACTGCCTGACCCACCAGACGCCAGCTCTGGGCCACGGTATTCCAGCCGGCAGAGCACACGGCCAGCAGGCCCAGACACTGGGCTTGCTCCAGAAACACTTCACCGCTGGAGGCCCAGAAAAGCAGAAGAGCCTTTTGGTAGTAGTCAATGCCTACCAAGCTCGCAGCTCCGGGTTCGCGTGGCAGTAGCCCGGAGGCGCAGGCGCAAACAGCAAAGAAGACGGAGAGGAAACCGCGTTCTACAGGACTTCCCGCAGTCATGGCGCGATACTGGAAAACGAATCGGGTCTGGTCTAGGATAGGAAATGTATAGTGTAACTGGTCAAAGTAAATTCCGACAAGGAGATCTGCTACATACTGGGGTGGACGGGCCAGTTCGTTCGCCGATGGCAGATAGGGGAGCTCGGGCCAGACCTGTCCATGCTGGAAGAAGGGCATTTCAATTGAGGCCTGGGGGATCGAAGCTTGAGCTGAATTGGGCGAGCGATCTGGAGACGGTGACAACCCCTGCACTGCCTCAATAACCAGATTATTGGCTGCACCGCCAAGGTATCTGGAAGGAATTCATCAGCGATATAACTCATGCTGTGATACTTGCTATTCATAAACAGACCGCAAACGCCCATAGGAGTCAGGTACCATATGCCCGACACGATCCCGCGATTTGTAAGATGTGGGAGTTGGCGGGGCATCTAGGTGATCGGTGCCAGGAATATCATCCTCCGTCTCCATGTCCTCTTCTGTTGGGAGCGATCTGGTCCTTGATTCTGACCGTGAGTCACAGTTCGAGCCCGGGTTAAGTGGTAATCCCGTTCGGTTGGTGGTGTCGCGAATAGCGAGGATACATTCCGATAGCGTCTGGGTGAGGCCCTCAAGCCGCAGTCCCAACGCCTCAATATTCCGGTAATGCTTGTCCAAAGAGCTGGCATCGCGTCGGCTGGCCGCCGCATTATCGTTACTATCGGGATACTCGCATTTCTGGTTGCGCGACTGGCAACCATGGCATGGCTCCTCCCCGTCACATTTTACCTGCGAATGGGTCGAGATTAGCAGAATCCCCGGAGCAGGGAAGAAGAAAAATCAAAGAGGTTAGTACTGGGACACTACCTTCTTCCGCCGGCAAGCAAGACACGCCTTCCAGACACGTCGGTCGGACTTTCTCTGCATTGGCGAAGCCATCACGAATCCACGTTGAGACACAAGGGGGTGCGCAGCAGTTTCATCGCGGGGAAAGTAACTTTGCGGGGAGAAGAGGGGAAGCAAATCCCAAGCTAAAATCGTTATCAGACTTTGGTTATCGGGGCAGTTCCTTATCACGGAGTTTATCATACATGATCAGTGCATTGACTCGTAACGAGTTACTTAGTTCAGTTGTCTGCTATCTATCAGTTCTCACGCTGATAAATGTCATTCGGTCGCACTCGGCCAAACACAACATATTCATCCGGCCTCCTCGTGAACTTGCCCGTAATTTCACATCAGCGACGATTCTATACGCATGACGAGACACAGGGTAATAATCGCTTATAATTAGCTCTCATATCAGATATTGAAGATAGCTTCGTGGGACTAGACTACAATACAACAGAGCTTGACGGGTTCAGCATCTGAAACCGGACCTCGGGCCGTGATCCGACCCTATTTGCCATTTATATGCAACAATCATCTGAACAAGCCGCAGTATTGATCAGCACTACTACCACTACTCGCAACCAACCGCTACAGATACCACTTCAGAAAGGGCAGACCCATTTCTTTACTACCATGGTCACTTCTATTGCTTCTCCAGTTGTGTCCGCAACTGGAAAGACGCGATTGCAGGCCTCACTAGAGCGTGCGACCGCGCGGCAAGGGCCGTCCATCGGACAGTGGCTGGAATTTCCGGGCTACTCATTAGCACGCACCGTAGCACCTCTAGGGGCAGATGTACGTGCAGTTTGTCTCACATTCTACTCTCATCCTCAGTACTGATACTGAATTAGTGGGTATTGATCGACTGTGAGCATGGGGACATCGATGACAAGGCCATGTACCTGCAAGTCGGAGCCGTCTCCTCAGCTGGGGTGTCGCCCATCGTGCGCATTCCCGCCTCGGAGCCCTGGATGATGAAGCGCGCCTTGGACTGCGGCGCCCACGCAATAATGGTGCCCATGTGTGAGACCAAGGTCCGTCAAATGCCCGTCCCTCATGGCTGCCATTCCTTCCTCATCTAAACATCCTGCCAGGAACAAGCCGAGGCTATTGTACGAGGGTGTAAATACCCCTCTTCGCAGTGGCCCCAGGGGTTGCGGGGTGCAGGTGCCATGTTTGCTCCGGCTGCCTTCAATCAGAGCGGGCGAGAGTACCTGACTCACGCCAACGACAACGTGGTCATTATCGTGCAGATTGAATCGCGTATGGCAGTCGAGAATTGTGCTGCCATTGCAGCAGTTCCAGGCATTGACATGCTCTTTATTGGGCCCAATGACCTGGCCTCATCCTTGGGGTACTTTGCCTTGGATCACGCCCAGATTCCTGAGGTCCAGGGGGCTACCAATCGCGTTCTGAAAGCCTCCAAAGATGCTGGAAAATATGCTGGTCACTTTGCCCTTTCGGCAGATGTGGCCGCGGCCAAATATCACCAGGGTTTTGATTTTGTCAACTCTGGAGCGGACATTGTCGCCTTGACTTCCTGGATGTCAGCAGAACTAACCAGGTTGCGCCGACTCACAGAACTTAGCGCTGCAAAACCGAGTCTTCAGTAAAGATGGAGTACTTTGGTGCTCTTTGAACGGAATTGACAACCTTAATCATAGCGACTGATCCAGCACAGGATAGAATGTCTCTCTCTTGTTTCTTCCATTGGTCTTTCTAAAGTTGGACGGAAAAGGAACAGCTATAAATTTATTTCCGTGTTTTGGTGGCCCAACGTCACTTGATACGCATATTATTATTGCTAGGTTCATGACATCCTCTCTAACCGGAAGTCCTTGTGCCACCCAGGTCCACGAGGAGCGGAGAATACATCGACGATACCACCCAAAGCCATGCAATGCGATACCTCAGCTCACCACAGATAGTGCGGACTCCGGTGAGTAAACCAGTCATTGTCTCGGAGCTGTTATATAGCTAATGCTGGAACACAGCTGCACTTGCATTTGGGAGTACAGCATTGAACACAGGGATTCGCATAATGTATGCCGGTCATCCTGCCCATACCTCTACTCAGCTGTATTGCGCACCTCCCGAACTGTCATATCCTTGAAACCAAAATCCTCAACCGTGACGTAATCGGCTGCCTGAGGCCCCAGATGAAGAATTCTTCCGAATAATTTAATGATGTAAAAGAAGGCCCTCGTATAGGAGAGTGCCAGAATGAGGCTTCTCATGGTCCAGATGCCCCAAGCGGTTTCGGGATTAATAAGATGTGGCATACCAGGTGCCAATTGCTGTGCCTCCTCGACAATAGGTCGCATTTGCTCATCGTACTGTGCCAAGGCACATGAAAGGTCTAGGCTCTCTCCCTTGATGTAGGGTTGGAGGTAACCCGCTAGTTTATATGCTGCGCTAAAAGCCAACGTTGTGCCCAGACCCGAAATGGGTGATGCACAATACCTTTCTATGTCTTAGTCGGGAGCATTTTAGGAATACCAGCCCACAACAGCTATGATAGTGTAAGGGTCGTCAACTTACCCAGCGTCCCCCAGAAGCACTACCCTTCCTTTACTCCAGCTGTCCATCTTCACCTGCGATACCGCATCGTAGTAGAAATCATCAGTTGCCATCATTTCCCGAATGATTCTGTCACACTCCCACCCGGCGCCGTGAAAGTATTCCTCCAAGAGTGCCTTTTGCTCCTGAATGCCGCCACTCCTCTTCGTCGCCACATCGACGAATCTTGGATCCTTATCATTGACCACATACATGAGGATGGTGGACCTCATGCCGAGACCGTCTGGTCGTAACATAATGCCTCGTCGCCCAGGGGCATGGAACCACCGCCTCCAGTTGTCATCGTGTTCCTCTCGCGGAATGCTGAAGAAGCCCGCGAACATACCCAACCGCTTCAGTCGGATGCTTTCCCCTTCTTCACCCCAAACCATCTTCCGCGTCCTGCTCTGCATGCCATCTGCTCCCACCAAGAGATCGAAGCTTCTTGTTTTCTGGCTCCTAGCAAAGCGCACATGCACCTGGCTTCCGTGCTGCTGGATCTCCTCCAGAAAATCACCAAAAATGTACTCGATCCCAGCGGCGCCATCGCGTTGTGCTTCCGCGCTAATACGCTGGCTATTCTTCCAGCATAGCTCAGCCAGCTTACCCCTGAGAATCTCTATGTCGCTTGTTCCTGTCTGTATAGTACCGGTTCTATCTGCTGGATTCTCCGTCCAAATTCGATTACTCTCATCCACCATGCGGACCCCCTCCTCCCCCGTGGTTGAAGCTCTGATTTGGGCCTCCAATCCGAGCTTGCGGATGATGGTCACGCCTGCGCCACGAATATCAATGTTCTGGCCGCGCAAATGAGCCTTCTGGTTAGACTCGCGCTCCAGAATGGTTATTCGAGGCTTTTGGGCTGCGGGGATGTCGGCGAGCAGCAGAAAGGACGCTAATGTGGGTCCTGCGATGCCACAGCCGACTATCAGGATGCTCAGAGATGCCATGTCGGTGATGGAAAGTATAGATAGCTATTGTACTTAGAGAAGGATCAGATAGCCAAGACCAACAGAGTCTTGGATGCCGGGAGAGTGCGAGCCTTCAGCCACGTGATATCAGCATGGCTGCATGTTTAGCGCCGTGCGAATTGTCGGTCAGGCCATGAATCCCTGTCCCTTGCGGATGATTGGTGGAGTAGCTGAGAACTCTCTTCCTTTCGGTGACACTCCTTTCTGAAAATGGTCTGACCCGTTAGTCTCGTTCTAGTGTAAGGATAATACAACATCGTTTAGTGTGGCCCGTTCACAACAGTCACCCTGATCCGTTCGGTTATCATCGGATCCCCATTCTAACTATCGCCGATACAAGCAACCTGGAGCATTTATTTCCTGGTCATCCTATAGTGTGCACTAGCTCCTATGTGGAAAATTGGGCGACGCTCGGAGTTAGCGCGGGGTACGACAGGCTTGTTTGCCCCCTATAGCCCGTTCCTTTCATTAGTAGTATGTGTCTTAGACTTAAGACACCAATCCATCCTAGTAAAAATGACGCGACAGTATCAGACTCTACTCGCAAAAGCCTCATCTTGATATATGATAACCAATGGTCATTCAAGACATTGTAGAGAATTCAATGGGCGTATAAATCACAAATTTGCCTTCCTTCCAGTACCGTTTATACAAGTCGAAGTACTAAGTACTATGATCCTTGGAATGATAACTGGTGGAGGTATTGACCATAGATATGTAACAATTTGAAATTTCCTAAAGAGAGGGATGAAAGTGACCAGAACGAGTAACATCTGAAAACGCACTGTGTGAGGCATGGCCTGATGAGGCAAAAGTAACGATAGTGATAACTTATGCCATGAGCCACCCGCGGATTGGAATCAACATATTGTAATTTAGCAATTACTATCAAGAGGCGGGCTGCAAGACGCCAATGTTCTGGTTTCTAGAATTGGTGACTTGTCCAACTTCAACGGGTCTAGGTGCTTGCGTGCCATCATGATAACGTCCTGCCTGCAGTTATAAGCTACACAATAATATGACCATCCTACTCCACCTCTTTCAATCTGAGTTTAGCATTGTTCTTTATATCTACGAGAAGCATGTTGCAGGCGTTGCCTGCCAATCTCCAAGGCAAGTAGTGAATCTCCTTTCGAATCATATCACTTGTTGCAGATATAACACGTCCTCAGAACATGGCCACATTGACCATAAACGTTCGAAGACATATCAGGCTGGTGGCGATAGATATTCTGCATACAGCAACCCCGCCAAGCCCTCAAAGCTAAACGGGGTTTAACCCCACACGACGTAGCGGGTGCATATGCTATGATGGTCTTCTCAACAGTTACTTCACACTTTGGCATGAACTTGGCACGTCACTCATATGCTTCAACATCCTCAACAGCAATCGATGACAAAGCCAAGGGAGGCAGTGCTGCGCCGAGAGCATCGAGATATGGTAGACCCGTTATCTATCCAACTTTAACCGCCATGATGACAAGCTGGCTGGCAGCACTGAGACCTATCCACAATAAACCTCTCATCTTGAAGACTCTCACTCTATCAATGCTTCGAGCCGGTTGACCAGGCATCCAGCGCGTCGGCTCTTGTCCATTACTTTTGTAAAGCGGCGCGGCGAGACATTGGGAGGTTGTGGTCTAATAGCCTTTCCGCGTATCGTTCATGCCGCATCATTGTACCATGGTTCAATCTCTGCACAGAAGTATATAGCACAGCCTCAATACATCAGTGGCTATCGAGACCTACGTATACACCATAAGAGCAACGATACAATTTTGTGTTCAATAGCTCCATCCATTATTTCTTTCCTGAAATGCTGCAAACATGAGTAGGCCCGATCTTGACAACTCGGAGGAAACTGAGAGCCACGCGATTCCATCCTCCGCTTCTGGCCTCGGAGCGGAAAACGGGCCCGACGGCAATTGTTTTGCTTTTTCGCCAACCCAGCTAAACGACTTGTTCAATCCAAAATCGCTGGAAGCTTTCTGCTCTCTGGGCGGACTTTATGGACTCGAATTTGGGCTACGAACTGATTTAGCTACCGGGCTACAGTCGGATGAGTCCGTTCTGTCAGGACGTGTCTCGCTCGAGGAAGTGAAGCAAGTCGCATTAGCAAAGACAACGACATCACAACGACCGCTCCTGAGCAATCAATCTCGTCTGGCCAGAGGGAAAACACATGGCCTGCCATTCCACGATCGCATAAGGGTATTCGGGCGCAATGTATTGCCAGTGACAAAACGAAAAGGGTTTGGACGATTGCTATGGGATGCCTACAATGACCGAATAATTCTACTTCTCACAGCAGCTGCAGTTGTATCACTGTCGTTAGGCATCTATGAAGCTGCTAGCGGGCAGTCGCAAGTAGACTGGATTGAGGGAGTGGCTGTTTGCGTGGCAATATTCATTGTTGTCTCGGCCACGGCAGTGAATGACTGGCAGAAGGAAAGACAGTTTGTTCGTCTGAACAAGTTGGTACGCTTTATCTCAGTAGTCCCGCTTGCTGCATGTGTCTGGGCTAACCAGAGTAGAAAGTTGATCGTGAAGTTCGTGTCATCCGCTCCAGTCAGTCCGTCATGGTTCATATCCATGATCTGACGGTCGGAGACGTCGTGCATCTCGAGCCCGGAGACTGTGCACCAGCTGATGGAGTCGTGGTGACATCTTATGGGCTAAGGTGCGACGAATCAATGGCGACAGGCGAGTCGGATCATGTTGAAAAGCATACGGGCTTCGAGGCTCTCGATTGGATTGCCGCCAAAAGCTCAACTGAAGATATGGATCCATTCATTATCTCGGGAAGTAAGATCCTTGAGGGCCTGGGGACTTATCTGGTGCTGAGTGTCGGACCTAACTCCACTCATGGGCGAATTATGGCTGGTCTTGCTGTCGAAAGCGACCCAACGCCTCTTCAGGTCAAGTTGACTCGCTTGGCAAAATGGATAGGCTGGTTCGGACTTGGGTAAGGCCTACTTTCAAATACTCTTGCTCTGGCTTTGACGAAGTACTAATCAGGCCGCTCGACAGGGCGGCTCTATTGTTATTCTTTGTACTTCTGTTTCGCTTCCTAGCTCAGTTGCCCGAAAACGATGCACCGTCCGCAGAAAAAGGTCAGATCTTCATGGACATTCTCATTGTTGCGGTCACGGTAATTGTTGTCGCAATCCCAGGTATGTTGATTAGAGACCGGTCGAACTAATTCATGCAACGAGGTCGTATTGACTTCTGTTAGAGGGGTTGCCACTCGCCGTTACCTTAGCACTAGCTTTTGCGACGACACGTATGCTCAAAGAGCAGAATCTGGTTCGGCAACTGCGCGCGTGCGAGACCATGGGCAATGCAACCGTCATCTGCTCGGACAAAACCGGTACCCTCACACAAAATAAAATGACAACTGCTCTTGGCATACTGGGCTTAGCGGACGCCTTTACACAGTCAGGTACAACCGCCTCCGGCGTGGAGCAAGCTGCCTTTAGCTTTCCAGAAGCCATCGGCCGATACCCTGTAGCCTTCCGCGATCTACTCATCAAGAGCATAACCGCGAATTCCACGGCCTTCAGAGAAGAGCGAGATGGCCGGATGGAGCTGGTAGGAAATAAAACAGATATCGCACTTTTGCACCTGGTGCAGGAGCACCTCGGGGTACATGACATCAGTCGAGAGCGGGCAGATATCGATACTATACAGGTCTATCCATTCGATTCTGCTCGCAAAGCAATGGCGTTGGTGTACCATGTGGACGAATCAGGGTGCCGTGTACTTGTAAAGGGGGCAGCAGAGGTGGTTCTGAGAGAATGTACCTCCGTTATCACTCCAGGGTCCTCTTCACATGAGGATATATCCACTCAACAGATAAGTGGGACCGACTTTGAAACGTTGGGTGAGGCGATCAGGAAATATGCCTCTGCATCGCTACGCACAATAGGACTCGCATATCGTGATATCCCAATCGAACTAGTCGCCGGGGATGGTCGACAAGAAAAGGCCAGCCTTGGGTTCGAGGAGCTTTTTCGAGATATGACATGGATTGGGCTCTTTGGGATCCATGATCCCTTGCGACCGGAGGTAAGGGATGCGATACAACAGTGTCACTCGGCTGGGGTCAAGGTTAAGATGGTGACAGGTAAGTAAATTCTCACAATTTTGAACTCATGTTGACGTTCCTGCGTCTTAGGTGACAACCTTAACACCGCATTGGCGATAGCAGAATCCTGCGGTGTCAAAACGGCTGATGGTGTTGCTATCGAGGCGCCAGAGCTTCGTAAACTTGATGAGACTGAATTGGATATTATCATGCCGCGCCTTCAAGTGCTGGCTCGCTCATCTCCAAGTGACAAACAGCTTCTTGTAAACCGTTTGAAGCACCTGGGTGAAATAGTTGCCGTGACTGGTGACGGGACAAATGATGGTCCGGCGCTCAAGTCAGCCGATGTTGGTTTCTCAATGGGACTGAGTGGAACTGAGGTGGCTAGAGAAGCGAGTTCAATCATCCTTCTGGATGATAACTTCCGATCTATTGTCACCGCGATTGCCTGGGGCCGGTGCGTCAATGACGCTGTGGCCAAATTTCTGCAGGTATGGTTTGTTCAAGCTGGCGGCCTCCTAGGTACGAACAATTTTAACAGCTTACTGATGCAGTTTCAATTAACGGTGAACATCACAGCGGTATGCTTGACTGTTGTGACCGCCATATACAACAGCTCCAACGAGAGTGTTTTTAAGGCAGTGCAATTGTTATGGCTGAACTTGATCATGGACACTTTCGCAGCCCTAGCTCTGTAAGTATATGTTTTGCCCACTGTAAGCCTCCCTCAACACTGTTGACTGACCTCAGAGCAGAGCGACCGATCCCCCAACGCCGGAGATACTACAACGTCCCCCCACTCCCCGGAATGCATCATTGTTCACAGTTACCATGTGGAAGCTAATGCTCGGACAATGCATCTACAAGCTGGCGCTGTGCTTCACACTCTATTTTGCGGGGGACAGGATATTGAGTTTGGACATGGATGATCATAATGAAAGACTGCAGCTCAACACCATCATCTTCAACACTTTCGTATGGATGCAGATTTTCAACGAATTTAACTGCCGCCGGCTAGACAACAAACTCAATGTCCTTGAGGGTGTTTGGAAAAATCGGTGGTTCATCGTGATAAATTTTCTGATGGTGGGCGGTCAGATACTCATCGTCTTCGTGGGCGGCGCGGCATTTGGCGTCGTTAGACTGAGCGGCACCCAGTGGGCAATTTGTCTTGGATGTGCGGTAGTCTGTATTCCTTGGGCAGCCGTGCTCAAGTTCATCCCGGACAAGTATGTGGCTTATGTTTTGAGATGCTCTGGTTGGTGTCTCTTCGCAATCCTTCGCCCATTGAAGAGGGTAGTACAAATCCTGGGACGGGCGGTCAGGCAGACCGGTTTCTGGTCCCTGATACACCGATGGCGCTTGGGCAAGCATTCTACGAAGAGTCACGCCGATGAGGAAACTGGGAACGGTCTGCATTCGACCATTTAGCAGCTTTTGAGATCGTGGGCATGCAGAGACCCGATTGGGCTACCTATTTCTCGAGAGTATATACTAACTGCAAGATACTTGAAGGCTATTGGGTTAGCATTATCGGTGCGAGGGAAAGGTCTACTCACATCTGCGTGGTTTATCCAGCTTGAAGTTCCAGTACAAATGATTAATCTGAGCGGCGTCGCTTATCTGTGTCGTGATGTCTGCGAATAAAGGTCTAAGAGATACTAACTACTATATATATTTGACCGCCGGAGACCGTAGGAAAGGGATACATTCCCCGCCACCATAACCCCCATCCAGATCCCCTCTGAGAATAGATACGTACTAGTCATATGATAGTGTTCCTATTGTAACCGAGCAGATGTCATTATCTCTGCTTATCACATCACATGAAAATCATTGTGTTGCAACTGGGTAGTTACCAAGTCATAGTTCATGTAGTTAATTAAACTAACCTCCACTAATCCAGTTAGGGTGGGTTCGCTGGCCATCCGAGTCACTGAGACTAGACCCCGTTGGGACCCCGCCTCCGCTAGGTTCTCCTGCGTAGATTGTCCCCTGGTCAGCCTTCTCTCTCCCCTCCCCAACATGACTCATTGGCAATCGTACAACACTTTCGAGGCATACAATAAGAAAGAGGGGATGGCCGTTATTCTTCCCCTGACCATCAGGGCCTCCCTGAATTTCTCCAATTGTGAAAACATCCACGATGGCTGTCGACCCCTCGGTGTTTACTCCCTGGTTCGGCCCGCAACAGGCGGCAAACTACTTCCGCTCTCTAATTTCCGACGAGATTTCACAGACACAGGTCTTGGACATCAACCGTTATCTACTACGTTGTGTTCATGACGGAGGAATAAAACCTAAGATCTTTGCCGTGTGGCTATTTCTTGCCCATCCAAAATTTCCTTGCATCCTTGAAGACGCCCTGCGCGACGAGGCCTCGCGTGGTGTGCGAAAGACCGGCATAAACGTGCTGAAATGTGCCTTGAAAACAGACCGGTGGTGGAAGAACGGCTGGGAGGCAGTTGGAGGCACAGCCGGTCTACAGGATATCTTTGAGAAGATAAGCATCCAGGAGGCTAGGAGCCTGGCAAGAGCCATCGGGTCGTGCTCGAACACCACTGATCCTCTCCTGCGGCAGGCAATCGATGAGCTGCTTCATCGTTTGCTGCCCGGTTTCTTCAAGTCTTCGTCGACGCAATCTTCCGGCGAGTCTCAACAGCTACTCAAGTTGGAGGACGTAGTCTCGTTATGTAACCTGTCCAGCGACGCCACTCTAATGAAAGTCTTCTCAACGCCCCTGCCCGACGATGTCACGGGCTCCCTGATGCGACAACTGCTTAACTCTCGTATGTCGCTGCTAAGGGATATTGCTGTCGGGGCATTTCCGGTCCATCCTGCGCTCCGCAAGCGTTTACTGGACCAGCATCTCGCTGCGCTGCTTACATCGGTTATACCCTACGAGTCGCGGTTTGGTCAAGACAGGCAAACCGGCTTCCCGGCGATCGATTTTACCTTGGACCTTTTAGCTGGCGAGTTTGATGTTTCTGAAAAGTCGCGAGTGGTCAGTTGGCATGCGCGCATTCGGTGCATCGATATGACTCTCACAATCTCCCGCCGCCGAAGAGTGCCTTTCGACGCTATTTTTGCCTTGCTTCAGCGTGTAATCCCAGACCTGGGGCATTTAGAACGGACGCTCACCCATTGGGTGCCGCTCATACATTCATTGATAGAATTGTGGGTCATCGCCGCCTTTCCAGACGCACATCTACAGTCGATATCGGATGCGCCTGTTGCTCGTTATCGGGAGCGACTGCATCCATCTCGGCCACAAACGAGCCACAGAGATTCTTTGGAGGCAATGCTTCGAACAGCCTTCTGCACCTTATCATCCAATCAGTTTCAACATTGCCTCCGAACCCTTCTACCCAAAACCGTTCCGGAAGCCAGGCTTCCCTTACTCAAAATTCTATGCAAGAACCTGCAACACCTGAAAATTGATCTGGAGAAGCCTACGCCGTCAGTGAAGGAGCACAAGCTTGCCCCATGGAGTTGGTCGTTCCTCATGTCTCTCCCCAGTCGCGATGCAAGATGGTTACTTGAGCGCGCCAAACTGTTATCGCCGAATCATAGTTTGGTCAATCCCTTCGTCTTCGAGTGGCCAGCGAGTGCAGGGGATTCGTCATATTTCCGGGACGCCTTGATCCGAGTCCACTTCGACGCCATGGACAGAGAAGCAGCCGATTCTGTTAATTCAGTAGCCCGTGAATGTGAGCCATTCTTTCCCGCTAGACAAAGAGTATTGCTGATGCTTGTGCCCTGTCCAGTGATTGAAGACGTGAAGCTTAAGGCTGTAAAAGCCCGTGATCCTGAAGATCGGCTTCAGTGGGCAAAACTGACGATCACTATCGCAAAGAGGAGCCGAGATATTCGCCTTGTGCAAGATGTTATCTATTGGACATCGCGCTTCGTGCGGGATCCGGTATGTTCGTTCCTTACTTCATAATGTATGTGCAGATCGCTAACAAGACATATCTCTCCAGTCTGTGAGACCAGAGCTCGCCAGAAGGATTTATCGGGAGGATGTTGCCTCCGTTCTATCGTGTGTGATGTCGCCAACCGCAGAGGACCTCGCGGCTAAAATATCCATTGCTGACGAGGTGGTCTCTCATCTCCTGGAACAGGCGCTTCTAACTGCGCAAGAACCGTGGTATCGAATCAACCAGGATCGAGGATTTGGCCAGCTACTTAAGCTCGTCGTTTCTAGCAGGATACATGCGGTAAAGCGCTTGTGTTTCCGTGGTCTAGGCAGTGAACAGAATGTGGTGGACACGCTATTCAAAGGGATAGTGCCAATACTGCTCCGATATGAAACAGTGGGTAGTACGGAAGGATACGAATCCCTTGGCTGGGGACAGTTGTCTGGCCCGCTTTCAGAACTCCATTGCCCGCCTAACCCACCAGTCTCGATCCTAAAGCTCTTGGATTCGCTTGCACAGCACCGAGACCATCTTTGGGTCAAACAGCGTGGCCTTCGGATCCCACAAGCTGAGACTTTGCCCGAGGGCCTACCACGAGGTCTACCGCTTCAATATCTCCTTCCTTCACAGGAATGGACGATCGCGGTGATGAAATCGGAAGGGCCTAGCGCCTTTGTCTCGCAAAGAGTGACGGAGGTTGTCCTCTCCAATCCTGGTCTACTCCTCCAAAAGGTAATGAAGGACGGGCGCAAACAGTACTTGGTGGATAGTTTGAGGTTTGCAATCGAGGCTTACCTCGGTCATCTACCGGTTGCTGACCGGGGAAAAAGATTACTGGAGATCTGGAGTCATTACTCGGAAAAAATTCCGTCTTCTGCAGGCCACCTGGGGGACATTAAGGAATACATGTGCTCTTTGCTGAGATTCACAAGCTTACGCAAATTAGAGAGGATCATCGACCCTCCCCAGTCGCCTTCTCTTGATATATTCAAGAATATGTCACGTGACTCAATCAGCATTGAATGGGAGCCCCGATCAACCAATGTGCAACAAAATGCACAAAACTGTTGGGAGGGTTCACTATTACAAGTTCGATTTTTGGCCGCAAAGGAGGACTGGCCTCTGGAGAGAATGTTGGCAACTCCCAATCTCGGCACCTGGTCGCCAGTGCGTGAGAAGCCCAAGACCTTGAAGATATGGTGGCCCAAATATAGTCCTCGGACTCTTCCGTGCCAGTACCGAGAATCTCTCATTGCGTCTGCCCTTTTGTTTCTCAATAGCCTAGCCCAGAATACGGACCGCATATTGTCCAAGCCATTCCCTGAGAATACAGATATCCTTCGGTATCCACCAGTGCACCTGGATTACGACTTTTTGTCCAGCATCGACGACCAGAAAAAAGCAGCAACTGCAGCAATTGATCTCCTTAATTGCTTGGTCAAAATAGTACCATCCACCCTGCTGTACCACCTTTCGCTGTCCTTCTTAGAAGCTCTCCATGTGCTTGAAAGCGTATCGCCAAATTATGCGCTAGTGCAGCGCCTCGCTTTCAAATCAATGGCGCTGGTGCGGCGCTCAGACAGGCCTGATCTGGCTGCGAAACTAGGCATGAAAGCGCTCCAGCTATTTCCGGAAGCATCGTCGTGGCACCGGATGGCATTACCTTCCTCGTTGACTAAGGTCCTTAGTCGCGCCAATGCCGACCGGGTAATACAAGATTTCACTACGTATGTCTTCAAAGCACTAGAAGAGCAGAACCAGCGAACAAGCCAGAGAACTGGTACTGCACAATCAGAAAAACGCATAATAAAAATCACGACAGTGAAAATGCTGGCGACTATGCTAGCTGAAAGCAGATCTGGCGCGTCACCCCTCTCCGCCATTGAAGCCTTGAAGAACCTCTTTCACGCCAGCAACCACATCGATGTCCGGGTAGCAGTGTGCACGGCTATGCTAGAAATTGTTGGAGAGTACGATGATTGTGAACAAGCTTACGAAACATTTACATCGCTCGCACCCTATGCCGCAGTGCCCAGCGAAACCAGCGCCTGTGAATCTTGGTTGCAGTCAGAGAACGCGGAGCTTCCAAGGGTGGATTGGCAACGGCCCCTTCTCGATCTTTTTACCAATGAAGCCTACGGGATGCTGCCTCCAAGGTACCATGAACACTATACATACAAGGCGCTTCTACCCCTCCTTGATGAATTGACAAGGCAACATAACCGATGGATGCGCCAATTTCTTGCTCCACTTGATCTTACGCCCGAGGAGCGGTCTGTGACTGACTTTGGCCCTTTTGAGCCAGATATGATACAAAGAATATTGGAACGCTGGTATGAGTACCTGCCTCGGGAATTCCTTGTCACATACCGCGCTTGGATTATAAGCTATCTTGATTGCATGCGGCTCCGGAACGTCGACGATAAGATGACCGGGAAAGATGCATCATGGAAGACATCTGACTCATATTCTCACTGGACTAGGTGGTTCGGCGCTCATTCTGGAATAAAA